TTAATAAGCTGTTAACACCAATGTTTCATAATGTCAGCCAAGCAGCGGGTAACCTTTTCACGAAAATCTCCATGATTTATAAGGTTTATTAAGAATTTGATAATTTTTTCCTTTCTTAACTTAGAAAGTCAGCTACATTTTTCCAGATTGGAAGCCATGTTTTTAGGGACAGAGGCGGGGGCTGGGGGGCATGTGCTCCCTGAAATATGGCAATGGCCTGTCATAAAAGGGTTCTGGTTAGAAATGGAAAAGCATATCCTTTTAGGGGGTAAGAATTCAACAAAAATGCAATAACGTAATTTCCAAAACATTTTGTGGAGCAAAAATGCAAGAATTTTGATGGAAATGACTGTATAAACACAGTTACATAGGCATCAGTCAGTCCAAAGGTTTGACCATGGGAGGGGGCAACATTTGCTCGTCTGACAAATTTGTTCAAAGCCTGTCACGTTCAGTAGTAGACTTTTAATTGGGTAAAAACAGTTACTCGGTCTTCTTTAAATTAAAACTTCTGAGCTATACATTTGTATTTTTTAATTTGATCATATTTCCTTTAAATATTGATCAACATGAAAATGTTGAATAACATATCTATTTTTAAAAAGCATTTAATTTAGAATCGGTTGTCTCATTTTAACTTATAGGTGGATACTCGACACATGACACCCCAAATCAGTGTGAGTATACATGATCAAGTCTTGATAAATGACTTCACACTCTTACAGGGGAAGGTAAACACTTATATTGAATGGGCGACTTAAACATTGACCTTTTTATCTAATAGTAGCTACCATGATACACTTCTTCATATTACTTATTCTCAAAGTTGTTTTCCACATATAAATAAACCGACCAGAATTGACGGTCATTCTTTTACCCTTATAGACAATATTTGTTCTAATATCTTTAATAAAAACATTACCAGTGGATTCATATATTCTGATATATCTGATCATTTGCAAATTTTTTAAATATGTAATAATGAAATTATAATGAAGAAGACAGCTAAACCAAACATGTAAAGTAAAGAAACACCCCAAAATATTGAATCGTTCAAAAGTGATCTGGCAACAGAAGAATGGCTGGATGTCTTTAACGAATCAAATGCAGATAAAGCGTACAAACTTTTTAATACAAAATTGCAGATATATTACGACAAACAGTTTCCTCTAGTGTCTGCGAACAAGAAAAATAAGCGTTGTAAAATGCCATGGATAACAAAAGCAATTCTACAGTCGATACTCTCGAGGAATAAACTGTATAAGGCTTATCTAACGAACTCAGCTATTCATAGCAAAACAAACAAAAAACAAACCGAAATAAATTAACTTAATCATTCGAAATTATCGTAAAATGTACTATTCCGACAAACTTAATAGAGTGAAATCAAATATGAAATCGACTTGGAGGATTATTAATGATTTGATGGGAAAAAAAACCTAAAAAAACTGCCCAATGATAATTTTACATTAGATGATACCGTTATAAAGTCTGAAGATGTAACCTAATTTAACACCGAACGAAAATTTGACTTTATTTCTTCCTGAACCTTCAAATTCAACACTGTTTTTTAATCCCACTGATCCTAATGAAATAACTGAAATAACAAAACAATCTAAAATTAAGTAAATCGCAGGGTCACAATAGAACTAGACATGTAATACTTGTTTGGAACAAGTATAGGTGGGCTGTTCCAACTAAAATTTGAGAGAAAATAGAGCAAAAATAAGCGAGATATTGCTTAAAAAGCAACGTCGTGTAGATTCATGATGTAAATGAAATTCACCTTCCTGAGGCATAACATGTAAATTAAGAAATTTCTGACATATGGCCTTCAATCGAAATTTTCACTATGATGACGTCATCAATATGAAAAACGGTACCAACTGAGATTGTAGAGAATTGTCTTAGCTACAACATTATCAATCATTATTTACAGAGATACAATCAATTTTCCATAAATTTGCTGAAGTCATAATATGCAAATTCGTATTTTTAGTGATGATGACGTCAGAATATTTTTAATGGCCAAATGAGACATGAAATCATATCTCTGACTCATACTCTATCAAAATAGGAAAAAAATATTGGCGTCCAGTTGCATTCTAAAGAGCTATAAAGGATTTTGTATGAGCATGTTTTTGCCCATATATGCTATGTATTACATAAGCTCGCGCGCACAGACATTTATGTTAAACGAATGCTCATTCCGTTATTAATAGTCATAAAGAGATAAACATGGTATCAATTTGTTTGTAAAAAAATGTGGTATATCATGAAAGAAAAAAAATGGCGATTCTATGTTGTGTAATGGTGTAACGCGCGTGTGCGCGATTTTTTTTGTAAAATGCTTAAAATTGCCTGAAACGTATGCAAAATGAATTTGAGACGATTTAGAGCATTTTAAAATTTTGCGCGCGTCTTTTGACCTTAACTTTACCGGACGGATATTGAGGGATATTGACCTTAATCATGATAAATATGAATGAGAAATGACTTTTGGTTATGAAGATATGATCATGAGTTGATTTTCAGAAAAATTCACAAAATGGCCCCTAAATGACGTCATCAGTCAAGGTCAAGGTTGAAAACTTTTCTCTCCTTTGTCCATATGCCTATACATATGTGTGCCAAATTTCAAGGCATTTGATCGAGCCATTTCAAAGTTATCTTGCTCACAAAAAAGTGGGTGGAATTAAGAAAAATAAATAACAAAGAAATAAATAAAGGCGATTTTACGAAAATTATGAGGTGGTCTGTATGATATACAACCCACCTGATTAGTGCTTTCCTTCTTAAATGTGTCATACACTTCATCGCTTGTCCTTTAACTCGCATTTTTAGTCTACCAATTAATACCGAGAAATGTCCCGAGTCCTTGAAAATTGCTAAGGTAAATCCTGTTTTTAAAAGAGACAATCCTCACGAAATTAGTAATTACAGGTCTTTTTCCATTCTTCCCAGCATATCCAAAATCTTAGAAAAAACTATTTACGATAGGCTTTATAAGTTTTTAGATACTTTTCATTGCCTAAATCTAAATCAATATAGTTTTAGAAAAGGACATTCAACTAACCAAGCTTTGGTACAATTATATGATAAAATAACGAATGCTATGGCCAATAAAGAACATGTAACAGGGATATTTATGGATTTATCGAAAGCCTTTTATACACTGGACCACTAAATTTTACTGGAAAAACTTTACTGTTATGGAATTCATGAAGTTGCAATTTCATGGTTTGAGAGCTATTTATCTAACAGAAAACAGTATATAATGTATAATGATGTTTTGTCTAGTTTCCTGCCTATCAAATATGGAGTTCCTCAAGGATCAATTTTAGGCCTTTTGCTTTTTCTATTATATATTAATGATTTAACCAATACAACACCTTAATTATCATTCGTCCTATTTGCTGATGACACGAACATCTGCTGTTCACATCCTAATTTAAACAATTTAGTAAATACAATTAATAATGAGTTACCAACATTATCTCTGTGGTTTTAATGCAATAAGTTATCCCTTAATATCAATAAAACAAATTTCATGTATCTCAAGCACGCAAATTCTCATGTCATTGACTTTCCTTACAACATAAATATAGATAATGTCCCTCTCGATAAACTGAGAACATTAACATTTTTCGGTGTCATTATCGATGAAAATTTAAATTGGAATGAACACATTCTTCATATCACTACTTCTATTTCTAGGGATATTGGTTTATTATATAAAATGACAAAATTAATCCCATGTTATATGCTTGTTATGCTTTATAATTCATTGATATTACCGATATAACATATTGCTATTTAGTATGGGCCACCAGCGCCAAAACCAAAATCAACTCTATTTATTTATTGCAATAGAAAGCCCTTTGTGTATGCACTGGTTTATCATATTTATCTTACACAAGTCCAATATTTTACAAACTGAAAACCCTAACAGTATTCGACATAAATTCGCTACAAAGTTTACTGATCATATTTAAGTATTTAAATAAAATGCTACCTCTTTCATTTCAAAACTTGTACACAATGAATAAAGCTATTCACTCTTACCCTACCCGTAATTCCTCAAATTTTCATCTAGTAAACCCGAAATTACTAATTGCTCATAGCTCCATGAGACACCATGGTCCTGACCTATGGAACTCTCTCCCAGAATCTATCAAATCATGTAAAACTATGTTTTTATCAGAATACTCAAGGTAAAAAGTTCTGTGTCAACTCTTCATTCTTTATCTTGTCATCTCTTCTTTCATTCGAATCATTATTATCATTGTCATCATGATTATCATGATCATCATCATTATCATCACCACCATCATCCTTATCTGCATTGTCAATATCAATATCATCGAAATTTGTATTTTCAATTACCTATCCGTTTCTGCTTAATGAATATGTATATATATATATATATGTCATGAGTTTTGTCTGGGGCTGTCGTATTATTAAGCAATCTGCTTACAATGACAGTACTTCTTCCGCAAATAATTGTATAATGTTTTATAATGTTTGAGGAAATGTACAGTTTATCATTTCGTTTTTGAAAATAACAATATATATATATATATATATATATATATATATATATATATGTATTTGCTTATTTATGATTCATTGTCAGAAAAAATGCTTATTGTACTTTGTATCATTATTGTTATCGAAAAACTGTATACTTTCATGAATGCAGAAGAAAATTAAATCAAATCAAATCAAATAGCTTAATAGCTATGCCTACAGTTAGGATAGAGACATGGTTGACATGCTTAATTTGTCTCTGGTCATAATATGTTGAGTGTATACATGTGTGCATGTGCATACTTGTTATTGAAAGGTGTCGCAATATGTCTATCACTGTACAGATGCAATGAAGGGGCCATGGAAATGGAAGCTCATACAAGAAGAGGTTATTAGGTACGGTAAACAGTTTTCATGACATTATATTGTACGGTGATGTGTAAAATCAAGACTGGTCAAGAAGGCGAAACATGAACGTAAGGTAATCCTCTGCCTATTTTAAATGATAATTGAAACTTTATATGATGTACCTCATATCATTTGTTTCTTCCTCAAATTCTTTTTTGTTCTGTTGTTCGATAATTCTAGCTATTAAACTAGACCAATAGCAAAGGCATCAAATATTAAAGCCATGGACGGCCCTACCACATACTAACCGAAATGATATATGTTGCATTGAAGTGAAAATGAGGCACATACTTTGGTATTACATCACCAAAATGATTACATAAACATATATCATAAGACAATAATTAAAAGCAATCTGCCAGACCGATTAGATTCACTTGATCTATTTAATATGAACTCCTTTATAGAGTACCAAAGTGTGATGTCATTTACTGGCCCCGTTGCCAATGTTGCTGGTTCCAAACGATTTTGGACTAAATAATGGTGTGGTGATCCAGGCGCAGATCCAGGATTTCTTAGGGGGGGGGGAGGCCCAAATTTGAAATTATGCGAGCCAAATATTGGTACGTAATGGTGACCAGCAGTGACGTAATGGGGGGGGGGGTGGGTGCAGGGAGGGGCGAGTTTTTCCCCTACCTCCTCCGCGAAGCGCGGAAGCTTCGACATTTCAAAAAAATATTAAAGAAAGAAGGCGATTCGTTGTACCGTTCCCCAAAATATTCCTCGTCTGAATTACGTTTTCCCCTCCCCCCCCCCTCCCGCGCGAAGCGCGGAAGCTTTAACGTCTCATTAAATCATTAAAGAAAGAAGACGATTCGTTGTGTCGTTATCGACTCTTAATCTTCGTCTAACTTCAGTTTCCCCCCTCCCGCGCGAAGCGCGGAAGCTTTTACGTTTCATTAAATCATCAGAGACAGAAGACGATCTGTTGTACCGTTCTCGACTCTTAATCCTTGTCTAAATTCAGTTCCCTCCCCTCCCACGCGAAGCGCGGAAGCTTCGACATTTCATTACATTATTAGCGAAAGAAGACGATCCGGTGTACCGTTATGACTTTTAATCCTCGTCTAAATTCAGTTTCCCCCTCCCGCGCGAAGTTTTTACGTTTCATTAAATCATCAGAGACAGAAGACGATCTGTTGTACCGTTCTCGACTCTTAATCCTTGTCTAAATTCAGTTCCCTCCCCTCCCACGCGAAGCACGGAAGCTTCGACATTTCATTACATTATTAGCGAAAGAAGACGATTCGGTGTACCGTTATGACTTTTAATCCTCGTCTAAATTCAGTTTCCCCCTCCCGCGCGAAGCTTTTACGTTTCATTAAATCATTAGAGAAAGAAGACGATTCGTTGTACCGTTCTCGACTCTTAATCCTTGTCTTAATTCAGTTCCCTCCCCCTCCCGCGCGAAGCGCGGAAGCTTCGACGTTTCATTAAATTATTAGAGAAAGAAGACGATTCGTTGTACCGCTCTCGAAAATAATCCTCGTCTGAATTCATTTTCCCCCTCCCACGCGAAACGCGGAAGCTTTTACGTTTCAATAAATCATTAGCGAAAGAAGACGATTCGTTGTACCGTTATGACTTTTAATCCTCGTCTAAATTCAGTTCCCCTCCCCCCTCCCACGCGAATCGCGGAAGCTTTTTCGTTTCATTAAATCATTAGAGAAAGAAGACGATTCGTTGTATCGTTCTCGACTCTTAATCCTTGTCTGAATTAAGTTCCATCACCCCCCCCCCCCACTTCCTGCGCGAAGCGCGGTAGCTTTGACGTTTTATTAAATTATTAGAGAAAGAAGACGATTCGTTTTACACTTCTCGACTCTTAATTCTGTCTGAATTTCAAAAATGTTCTTTGTCTACTCCCTTTTCTTCCTACGTCCTCTTCCTTTTCACTCCTCATTTTTGGGGGGACCACCTCACCCCCCCCCCCCCCCTGGCTACGCGTCTGCGGTCAGATTAACATATGTTGATACCTTGTCCGCCCCCGGAAGCTCAGGGGTTTCAGGCAAAAATTTACGGTCAGATTAGCATTCAGGGGTCCACCTTACGGCCCTAGGTGGGGTCCAGGGGGCAGAGCCCCGGAAGTACAGGGGTTTTAGGCATTTAATTACGGTCAGATGACCATTATTTTGATACCTAATTGTGACACTGGCAGGTCACTAATTGGCGTGGGGTTCAGGGGGCGGAGCCCCCGGAAGCTCAAGGGTTTTAGGCACTCGATTACGTCTAGATGAGTATCAAGGGGCCCACTTTAGGGCTCTTGGTTGGGTCCAGGGGGCAGAGCCCCCGGAAGCTCAGCGGTTTTAGGCGTTTAATTACGGTCAGAGGTGCATATTTTGATACCTTATTATTTTGTGACACTGGTAGGACAATATTTGGCGTGGAGTCCAGGGGGTAGAGCCCCCAGAAATCAGGGGTTTTAGGCATTAAATTACCGTCAGATGAGCATCTAACGTCCCGCCTTAGGGCCCTAGGTGGATTCCAGGGGGCAGAGCCCTCGGGGTTTCAGGCATTTAATCATGGTCAGATGAGCATATTTTGATACCTCACTATAATGTGACACTGGCAGTTAACTATTTTTTCTTTCTTGCTCTCTTTCTTTCTATTTCTCTTTAATATATTTTTCAAAAATAGTGTTGGGGGGGGGGGGGGGGGCTCGAGGATTCCGATCCCTGCCGATCCGCGGGTCCTGACATATAGGCATCTCAAGAAGCATTTTCTTGCCTGGCTGTAAATTTAGGAATTTGTCATTTTCCAACAAACGCATAAAAAAGTATAATTTACTTAAAAGTGAGGAAAAATCTCGGAAAATTATGTCATTTCAGCATTATTTGTAAACCACCGTTATGGAATTAGAATTAAACCACGTTTGAATTCATTTCCCCAAAGGCCCCCCCCCCCCGATCTACACCTTGTTGGCGGGAAAATTGCAACTGATATCCCTTACCTTTCTTCAGTCTCTTTTTTTATTCTTTCCCTTTCTCTCTTTCCCTTTCCCTTATCTTCCTTCTGTCTCTCTTTTAGGTTTGCTGTGTGGGGGGGGGGGGGGGGGGTAAGGTTATTTTGACCGGTTCTAGGACAATTACCCCCTGGGCAATCACCCCCCGGAGAATTACCCCCCGAGGACAATAACCCCCTAAGGACAATTACCCCCCGGTAAATTACCCCCCGGAGAATTACCCCCGAGGACAATTACCCCCCAAGGACAATTACCCCCCGGAAAATTACCCCCCGGAAAATTACCCCCCGGAGAATTACCCCCCGAGGACAATAACCCCCTAAGGACAATTACCCCCCGGAAAATTACCCCCCGGAGAATTACCCCCTGAGGACAACTACCCCGAGGACAATTACCCCCCAAGGACAATTACCCCCGGAAAACTACCCTTGAGGAATTACCCCACGAGGACAATTACCCGCCCCCGAGGACAATTCCCCCCCCCCCCCCGGGGGGGGGGGGGGGACAATCAGGATTCAATAGCAAAAGACGATCTGACACGTTTAGAAATGCTGTGAAGGCTACGAGCCCATAAAATCCCGTGCATGAACCCACATTCGTTCAAATACTTGCGCGTGATCTTCCTCATTACATTTTTCTTTAACTATAATGTATGCAACAACACTGTGGTTGCTGTTTTCTACGAAGGATTTCTCTTGTGCAGCGTTATTTCAACTTTCTGTTCGACACGATGCCCTCTTAAGAAATGAAAAGTTTCGCCCAATCTTAAATTCTTCACAAACTATTTATTTTGCATCACTCTGGCACTCGTCAAGTGCTATGTACACACGTATGGGCACATTTGTTTCTTGATTTAGTGATCGAGCAAGAAAAACAAGGACAAGACATTTTCAAAATGGTAAAACATAATGTTGTGATCAACACACTAGCACAGATTTAAGGTATGCGGGCGCCTCACCGCCGAATGTACACGAATATAAAGTGAAATATTCGGTCATGACCTTGATACACGAATATGAGGATATTCGGGCCTCTCGTTGCCTATATTCATCATGTTTATAATTGTGATGAGTGTGGTAACAATGTAATGTCGAAATAAAAGATATATATCCGCAAAATATTGTCAGCGAGCGAGGAAGAAAGACATTTTATTATTTGTTTACATTTTATTTTCTCATGAAAATAAATACTCTACCCGTTTCTGATATTTGTTTTTCACAAAATCAACGTTTGCCAAAAAAAATTGTCATGTAACTAACATTCTCTTGCGGCACCCCAGTTGAAAAAACGCTGCTCTGGAATTACAAAATCATTGAGATGAATGTACCCAAGTGCGGATACTTATTTTCTTTTAATATGGCACCGTACATTTAACTTGAAGGCAATTTTTATTTCAAAATAAATTACAGTACAAGAAAACATATTTTAGTTCACCATGACAACAGAAATATATATATATATATATATATATATTACATTACATTTATAAACATGAAGAGAACCTTAATATTGGAATAGATCATGGATGAGGGCCCATTATACATACAAAGACAAATATACGATCAGCTGATTAGAAAAGTTACAGAGGATGCATAAATAATGATATCTTACATCCTAATTTCTTTGTTGGGCCATTTTGGGGGAGACTAGCTGTATTAACGCGTACTCATCTGCGCGCAATGTATTGTTAAATTTCTAAGAAATGTAAATTCCGTACTTTGCTTTGATACATGCGTCTTCTGGCAATTGAATTCGATTTGATACATGCGTCTTCTGGCAATTGAATTTGATTCAATACACGTGGCATATTAAGTCATACTTCACAAAGGTGGAATGGATACAGAGCGAGAGGGGTGGGTGAAATCTCCTCCTAGGAGGATACATGTACGTCAAGCAAAAAGATTTGGCAGATGGGTACGAGGGCTTTGAATGTGAGCTACGAATATAAATATAATTTATACACAACCCCTGTACGAAACAAATCTATTCCGTCATAAATAACTAAGAAAATGACAGTTCATGACATTTTCTCTAAATAGCAATTTGAAGAGGAGGTCGCATTATACGTCACAGTGTTACAAATTCCCTGGGTGTGATTGTCCTCGGGCCGCGGTAATGGTGTTTCGAGGGGGGGGGGTGATTGTCCTCGGGGGGTAGTTTTCCTCGGGTGGTAATTGTCCTCGGGGGTAGTTGTCCTCGGGGGGTAATTGTCATGGGGGTAGTTGTCCTCGGGGGTAATTGTCCTCGGGGGGGTAATTGTCCTCGGGGGTAGTTGTCCTCGGGGGGGGGGGGGGTAATTTTCCGGGGGTTAATTGTCCTTGGGGGGTAATTGTCCTCGGGGGGGTAATTCTCCGGGGGGTAATTTTCCGGGGGGTAATTGTCCTTGGGGGGTAATTGTCCTCGGGGGGTAATTCTCCGGGGGGTAAATTTCCAGGGGGTAATTGTCCTTGGGGGGTAGTTTTCCGGGGGGTAATTTTCCAGGGGGTGATTGCCCAGGGGGTAATTGTCCTGATACGATTTTGAACCCCCACCCCGCTCCACACATTATTGTTGGCGGGATTATTCGCAACTGATCTCCCCTTCTTTTCTCCCTTTTCTTTTCTTCTTCCTCTTTTTTGTTCCCTTTTAGCTCTCTTCTTTTCCTTTTCATTCCTTCTTTTTTTTTTTTTTAGCGGGGACGGGGTGGGGGGGGGGGGGAGCAAGGGCCTTTAACCCTACCCCCCCCCCCCCGATCCACAACTTGTTGGCGGGAAAATTGCAACTGATATCCCCCTTCTTTTCTTTTCTTTTTCCTTTTTTTCCCTTCCCTTTATCTCCTCTTTTCCTTTTTTCTTTCCCTTTCCTTCCTTCTCTTTTATTTTTTGATAGGGGGGGGGGGGGAGGCAACAGCCTGGCAGGCAAGTCCTCCCCCCCCCCCCGGATCTCCTTCTTCCCTCTTTTCATTTCTTCTTCCTCTTCTTTTTTCCCTTTTTCTCCTCTTTCCCTTTCCCTTCTTTTCCTTCTCTCTCTCTCCTTTTTTTTTGGGGGGGGGGGGAGGGGCAAGGCCCGCTCGCCCCCCTTGATCTGCGCCTGTGGTGATCACACTAGCCCCAAACATTGGATTTGCCCTGCTCCAGCTCATTGCTTGAATGATTTTGCGGTGAATCTCGTGCAAAGGCTTTGTTGTTTACAACCAGTTACAGTTAAATATGATGTTAGCACTTTGGTACTTCATTTGATGTGTTATTAAGTTCATTAATTTTGTTCAGACCAAATAAATGGTACGTGAAACAGTCATTTAAGGCAAGGCATATTATAACACCAATTAATCTTATTTTGCTCAGAAGGAAGTTTGACCTATCCTTTCTTTCTCATCAATTTTTTCCGTTAGTGCTTGGTGGAGCTCGGATTTAGAGAAAGAGTTGCTGTCTTTGATAAAAGACGTTTCTCCAAGACACTACTACGACTTGTGCAAGGCTCTAGATATCTCCGATAAACAAAGTGAAGTGATTTTAACACAAAACCTCTTACATGTGTCCAATTCACTATATGAAGTAATCTACAGCTGGAGAGTCAAGCAGAGGGATGGCACTAATTACAAGAGATTTCTAGCCGAAAAACTTAGAACTGTACATTTAGATGCATTGGCATCAAAACTAGTAGAAGGTGAGTTCGCTGCGCAATTTATTTAAAGTGACTCGGTAACATTGTTCAAGGTTGATGAAAAAATTGTGTAATTTGGGTATGAAATGGTACTTATTATATTCCTTGTACTGTACCTACCCTCTAACAGGCAAAACATCCTGAGAAAATTCTGAACCCACAAAGTTTTGTATGGTTTTCTTTGAAAGCGTTACTGTGCAACGCCCTCTAACAGTAACTAACAGTAAGTTCTGCCTGCCATTTTTGAATTTTCTCAACCTCTTTTCCGTATTGAAAATAAGACAAAAGACAGGCTTTTAAAGATCCTTCATCACTTAAATGTCTGGGATGTATACTAAGCCGATATATTGCTTTGTGACGATTTACATTCACCTAAAGTGTAATTAAATTGGAATAATATAGTTTGGAGAATTAAGGAATCGATCAGATCAGTTTTTCCCAATTGTTATCTTTAATAATGGTCCGTATTCACTCCAAATTTCAGATTATCTTTAATTGTACATCTAGCATTAAGCATTATTTTCTCCCATCTGAACAATGTTACCAAGTCCCTTTAACGCGACTGTTGTCCTTGAAATATGTGTAGACCTGTGTGACGCCTGGGGGAGGGGGATGGGGTCACTCCAAGTCAATAGTCATCCATGTATTTCAACAAGAATATCACTGGATCTAACATCGAATTTGCATGTGGACATGGGGGGAAGGATAAATAATGATGGGCATTTCCCTTCCCTCCTCAAATTCCTTCTTTACGTATGTACGTGTAGATTTGATTTTGACATGGCATATTTTACAAAATATTCTGATGTAATTACACTCTTATTCACTAAATTTTGTATTGGTAGAACTTTGAAAAGAAGTAAATAATTTAGCCACATTTATTTTCGAATTTCTTTAAGAAATAGATGTCTTAGACTTAGATTCCTTCTTATCTTCTCATTGTTGAAATTTGGCTTCATAAGCTGTAAACATCATTGTCTCGTAAGGTGAGCTATGCAGCGGGTAACATTTAACGAAAATCTGGATGATTTATTAGGTTTATCAAGGATTTTATCATTTTTTATAAAAATTTACCACGCGATAGTTCCTTTCTTAACTTAAAAATGCAGTTACTTTTTCCAGATTGGAACTCTTGTTTGTAGGGGATGGGAAGGGGGCATGTGCTCCCTGAAATAACGTAATGGTCCGTCATAAAAGGGGCACAAAAAAGCAACATTTTGTGAGGAAATGACTGCATGAACACAGTTATACAGCAATCAATTAGTGTAAAGGTGGAACCATGGGAGGGGGCAAAATTTACTCGTCTGACAAATTTGTTCGAGGCCTGCCACGTTCAGTAGTAGACTTTTATTTTACATTTGTGCCCCCAAATTGGGTATAAACAGGTACTCTCTTCTCCAAATTAAAACTTCTGAGCTTTTCATTTGCATTTTGAATTTGATCATATGTCCTGTAAATATTGATCAACATGGAAATGTTGAATTACATATCTATTTTAAAGAGCATTCAATTTAGATACAGTTGTCTCATTTTAACTTATAGGTGGATACTCGACAAAGGGAAGCCCAACTCAGTGTGAGTATACATGATTAAGTCCCGCCAATATTTACAGCGTGGAATGTTGTTATTTTTTGGAAACAGTATGAAACTAGGAGATCTAATGACAGCATTTATACTAGAATAAATTCAGATGTCAAGTCGAATATTAAAGAGCCAGGAGTGAAGCCAATATTTCCCAAAACTTCATAGCATACATGTGTATTAATAAAACCCTACATTAACAATTAACATATACATTTATAACGTTTCAAAATTTGTTCATGAAATTCAGATTGTTCAAAAACCTGTTTAAAAATTGGTTGAAATACTTGGGCGAACATAAATTTTGTTTACTTCGCATAAATGCTAGAAGTTTAAGCAAGAATTTTGATTCTCTGCAAACTTTGCTGCATGCTCTTAATAATTTTCCCCTTTCTATTATTTGTGTCACTGAAACTTGGCTTCATAACACTTCGCCTAATTTATTAAATTTGCAAAATTACACATTAATCAGACTAGATCGCAAAGGAATCAGAGAAGGGGGTGTCGCAATTGATGTCAATGAACATTTGCAATTTAAAATCCAAAAAGAAATATCATTAAAACAAAGTGAATCATTGTTTTTAGAAATCATTAATCCAAATAAAAATATAAATATAATCGTCGGTTTAATCTATAGGCCCCCTCATAGTGATACAAAATTATTTTTTGAAGATCTTGATAAATGACTTCACACTCTTACAGGGGAAGGTAAACACTTGTATTGAATGGGCGACTTAAACATTGACCTTTTTATCTAATAGTAGCTACCATGATACACTTCTTCATATTACTTATTCTCAAAGTTGTTTTCCACATATAAATAAACCGACCAGAATTGACGGTCATTCTTTTACCCTTATAGACAATATTTGTTCTAATATCTTTGATAAGAACATTACCAGTGGATTCATATATTCTGATATATCTGAACATTGGCAAATTGTTTAAATATGTAATAATGAAATTATAATGAAGAAGACAGCTAAACCAAACATGTACAGAAAAGAAACACCCTAAAATATTGAATCGTTCAAAAGTGATCTGGCAACAGAAGAATGGCTGGATGTCTTTAACGAATCAAATGCAGATAAAGCATACGAACTTTTTAATACGAAATTGCAGATATATTACGACAAACAGTTTCCTCTAGTGTCTGCGAACAAGAAAAATAAGCGTTGTAAAATGCCATGGATAACAAAAGCAATTCTACAGTCGATACTCTCGAGGAATAAACTGTATAAGGCTTATCTAACGAACTCAGCTATTCATAGCAAAACAAACAAAAAACAAACCGAAATAAATTAACTTAATCATTCGAAATTATCGTAAAATGTACTATTCCGACAAACTTAATAGAGTGAAATCAAATATGAAATCGACTTGGAGGATTATTAATGATTTGATGGGAAAAAAAAACCTAAAAAAACTGCCCAATGATAATTTTACATTAGATGATACCGTTATAAAGTCTGAAGATGTAACCTAATTTAGCAAATAACCTTAATACACCGAACGAAAATTTGACTTTATTTCTTCCTGAACCTTCAAATTCAACACTGTTTTTTAATCCCACTGATCCTAATGAAATAACTGAAATAACAAAAAAATCTAAAATTAAGTAAATCGCAGGGTCACAATAGAACTAGACATGTAATACTTGTTTGGAACAAGTATAGGTTGGCTGTTCCAACTAAAATTTGAGAGAAAATAGAGCAAAAATAAGCGAGATATTGCTTAAAAAGCAATGTCGTGTAGATTCATGATGTGAATGAAATTCACCTTCCTGAGGCATAACATGCAAATTAAGAAATTTCTGACATATGGCCTTCAATCGAAATTTTCACTATGATGACGTCATCAATATGAAAAACGGTACCAACTAAGATTGTAGAAAATTGTCTTAGCTACAACATATCAAAATTTGGAAGAAAATCGATCATTATTTACAGAAATACAATCAATTTTCCATAAAATTTGCTGACGTCATAATATGCAAATTCGTATTTTTAGTTCAAAAGCCATTATGATGACGTCAGAATATTTTTAATGGCCAAATGAGACATGAAATCATATCTCCGACTCATACTCTATCAAAATAGGAAAAAAATATTGGCGTCCAGTTGCATGCTAAAGAGCTATAATGGATTTTGTATGAGCATGTTTTTGCCCATATAGATAGATAGATAGATAGATAGATAATTTATTGGTCCATATTCAAAAACATAGAAAATTGGCCTCCACTGGCAGCACATAAACATAATACAAAGTAGTTACAAAATAATTGATATGTCACATAATGTACATAAATTCACACCAGATCATGACATTAACAAAAAGCATAAGTATAAATTACATAGTAATAGGGAAAACTTAAGAAAGAAGTCGACATTCAAAGATTGAGAAGTAAGAAAAAAGTCGTAAGGAGACTGAGGAGCAAAAATAGTAATAAGAGAGAGAGAGGGGAGAGGGGGAAAGAGACAGAGAGGGAGGGGAGAGATAGAGAGATAGAGAGATAGAGGGAGAGAGAGAGAAAGATAGGAACGAAAGGTGGACGTAAGGAGAGAAGAGGGTATAAATAGAGGGAGGGGAAAGAAAAGGAAAGGAAGGGGGACGAGTTATACACGACACATGTAACTGTCTATCTGAGAGGTAATAGACCAGTTTCGCAGTGTATCCACGTTGAATGCGCAGGTCCCCACGAAGTGCGCGGACACGATTGACTCCTCCCACCCGCCAGGAACAATCGTATTCCAACAGGCAGAATGCGAGTTGCACACGAAAGACGCTACCAGGCTGGCAATACATTAGAGCTCGCCCAACCTAGCAACAACCAACGTACGCAACTCACACCCCGCCCACCAAAGCACAACCACTCCCAACGGTGAATGGAGCCACCCGCATCCAGGCACCCCGACAAAGACCCACGCACCCAACCCGAACCCACTGCGAAACTGGTCCATTATGTTGCACATTTTAAAAAACCGGCTTTATGGTACTAATTATGCGTAAAAACAGAGCAGAGGCAAGATTGAACGGTGGGTCAATTGGCAGGTGTTAGAGTTACAAGGAAAATATAAATATATAACTGGCTAACTGGCTGGCAAGAGACTTTCAAAAGGGTCATCGCTTGACATTAGCATTGAACATATGAATGACATTCGGTACAAAGGATTGTCTGTAACGACAGCGGTTGCTCCTCGGTACGCGTAGGCGAATACCTGAGCGATTGAATCCAAGAAAATGATGTAATGGATGTGATGGGTCATTCATTATTGTGTGAACTTTAAGTAACATACGTTTTTCATACACAGTACTGATAGGGGGAAGATCTGAATAAATTAACCGCTGGGCAATTTTCCTGGGTCTATCTAACTTTCTCCGATTTTGTTTTGAAAGATTACCAAAAGTGCACAAAAAATTGAATGTCAGGATACTCTGTATAAGAGATTGGTAGAAGAGAACTAGAATCCTATTATCCACATGAAATTCCTTTAGTTTCCTTAGAAAGTATAACCTTTGACTCGCCTTGCCTGCTACGATTTGGGTGTTCCTATTCCAGTAAAGTTTATTATCAACAGTTGTTCCCAAGTACTTATATTCAGAAACTCGCTCAATGCTTTGATCATGGATAACCAACGAGTCAAGAGGCTGAGAGGAACGACGAAAGTCAAATACCATTTCCTTGGTCTTTTTTACGTTAAGAACTAGATGGTGCCGATCGCACCAGTTTACAAATTGATCAACTTCTCTAACATATGAGCTGGAATCTCCTTGAAGGAAACCAGTTATCACAGTGTCGTCTGCGTACTTAATTATTGAACAATTATTATTGGTGATGGTATAGTCACTAATATAGAGCGAGAAGAGAATTGGTGAAATTACACAGCCTTGAGGAGCACCTAGATTCAGACATTTGATGATAGAGTTCAGATTATTACACTTAACCCATTGTGGTCTGTCTACAAGGAAATTATGGATAATCCTAACTAGACATGGTTTGACATTCATATTAAGTAGCTTATCTATCAGTATGTAAGGAACAATCGTATTAAAGGCACTTGAGAAATCTATGAACACAGACCTAGCGTAAGACCTAGGAGTATCCAAATGTTGATACAGACCCTGTAAAAAAAAAAAACAATATATGCTATGTATTACATAAGCTCGCGCGCACAGACATTTATGTTAAACGAATGCTCATTCCGTTATTAATAGTCATAAAGAGATAAACATGGTATCAATTTGTTTGTAAAAAAATGTGGTATATCATGAAAGAAAAAAATGGCGATTCTTTGTTGTGTAATGGTGTTATGCGCGAAAACGCGCGCATGCGCGTGTGCGCGATTTTTTTTTGTAAAATGCTTAAAATTGCCTGAAAAGTATGCAGAATGAATTTGAGACGATTTAGAGCATTTTAAAATTTTGCGCGCGTCTTTTGACCTTAACATGACCAGATGGATATTGAGGGATATTGACCTTAATCATGATAAATATGAATGAGAAATGACTTTTGGTTATGAAGATATAATCATGAGTTGATTTTCAGAAAAATTCACAAAATGGCGCCTAGATGACGTCATCAGTCAAGGTCAAGGTTGAAAATTTTTCTCTGCTTTGTCCATATGCCTATACATATGTGTGCCAAATTTCAAGGCATTTGATCGAGCCATTTCAAAGTTATCTTGCTCACAAAAAAGTGGGTGGAATTAAGAAAAATAAATAACAAAGAAATAAATAAAGGCGATTTAAAGAAAATTATGAGGTGGTCTGTATGATATACAGCCCACTTGATTAGTGCTTTCCTTCTTAAATGTGTCATACACTTCATCGCTTGTCCTTTAACTCGCATTTTTAGTCTACCAATTAATACCGAGAAATGTCCCGAGTCCTTGAAAATTGCTAAGGTAAATCCTGTTTTTAAAAGAGACAATCCTCACGAAATTAGTAATTACAGGTCTTTTTCCATTCTTCCCAGCATATCCAAAATCTTAGAAAAAACTATTTACGATAGGCTTTATAAGTTTTTAGATACTTTTCATTGCCTAAATCTAAATCAATATAGTTTTAGAAAAGGACATTCAACTAACCAAGCTTTGGTACAATTATATGATAAAATAACGAATGCTATGGCCAATAAAGAACATGTAACAGGGGTACTTATGGATTTATCGAAAGCCTTTTATACACTGGACCACTAAATTTGACTGGAAAAACTTTACTGTTATGGAATTCATGAAGTTGCAATTTCATGGTTTGAGAGCTATTTATCTAACAGAAAACAGTATATAATGTATAATGATGTTTTGTCTAGTTTCCTGCCTACCAAATATGCAGTTCCTCAAGGATCAATTTTTGGGCCTTTTGCTTTTTCTATTATATATTAATGATTCAACCAATACAACACCTTAATTATAATTCGTCCTATTTGCTGATGACACAAACATCTGCTGTTCACATCCTAATTTAAACAATTTAATAAATACAATTAATAATGAGTTACCAACATTATCTCTGTGGTTTTAATGCAATAAGTTATCCCTTAATATAAATAAAACAAATTTCATGTATCTCAAGCACGCAAATTCTCATGTCATTGACTTTCCTTACAACATAAATATAGATAATGTCCCACTCGATAAACTGAGAACATTAACATTTTTCGGTGTCATTATCGATGAAAATTTAAATTGGAATGAACACATTATTCATATCATTACTTCTATTTCTAGGGATATTGGTTTATTATATAAAATGACTAAATTAATCCCATGTTATATGCTTGTTATGCTTTATAATTCATTGATATTACCGATATAACAAATTGCTATTTAGTATTGGCCACCAGCGCCAAAACCAAAATCAACTCTATTTATTTATTGCAATAGAAAGCCCTTTGTATATGCACTGGTTTATGATATTTATCTCACACAAGTCCAATATTTTATAAACTGAAAACCCTAACAGTATTCGACATAAATTCGCTACAAAGTTTACTGATCATGTTTAAGTATTTAAATAAAATGCTACCTCTTTCATTTCAAAACTTGTACACAATGAATAAAGCTATTCACTCTTACCCTACCCGTAATTCCTCAAATTTTCATCTAGTAAACCCGAAATTACTAATTGCTCGTAGCTCCATAAGACACCATGGTCCTGACCTATGGAACTCTCTCCTAGAATAAGGAGTTAAAACAACAATTTATATATATATATATATATATATATATATATATATATATATTTGCTTATTAATTATTCATTGTCAGAAAAATGCTTATTGTACTTTGTACTGTTATTGTTATCGAAAAACTGTATACTTACATGAATGCAGAAGAAAATTAAATCAAATCAAATCAAATAGCTTAATAGCTATGCCTACAGTTAGGATAGAGACATGGTTGACATGCTTAATTTGTCTCTGGTCATAATATGTTGAGTGTATACATGTGTGCATGTGCATATTTGTTATTGAAAGGTGTTGCAATATGTCTATCACTGTACAGATGCAATGAAGGGGCCATGATAATTAAAACTCTCTTTATGATGTTTTATGTCATGATATTCTTTCTTGTTTTGATTGATTTATTGAATCAAACTTTAACCAATCATGTTTGTTCTTTACATTATGCAGCTTTAGTTGCTGATGAGGTGCATGGTGTAAACAAGCTCACACAAGAAGAGGTTATTAGGTACGGTAAACAGTTTTCATGACATTCTATTGTACGGTGATGTGTAAAGGCCCGGTCACACAGAGGGGACGCATGGGGGACGCACGGCCAGCGCATTGGAAATTTGCAATTTGGGCAAGTGTCATCATTCGTTACTCGTTCGTCGAGTGCGCTGGACCAACGCTGGACCAGCGCTATGCATTCGTCGTCATTCGCTGTGTGCGTCTGTTTTTTTTTAGCATGCTCAAAAGTGTGCGCGGAGTTCGACGCATGAATGTACACGCCAAAGGCACGCGAGACATGCGTGGAGCGCGCTAGACCAGCGCCAGACATACGCAGAGCACACGCCCTGTATACGCACAGCGCGCTAGCTACACGCTGTGCATTTTTGTCAGCTCGCTAGTTTTTCCAAAATCATGACAAAAGTTAGGCACATGGCCTTTTCCGATTTCCAATGCGCGGGCCGTGCGTCGTAGAACGCGGTACATGCGTGGACCATTCGTCCAGCGCGCTAGCAACACGCTGCGCATTCGTGGAAGTTGTTATCATGTGCGCTCTGTGTACGGTCTGTATGCGTACTGTATGCGCCCTGTATGCACTCCGCGCGCTAGCAACACGCTATGCAATTGGTGTCAGCTCGCTGTAGTTTCGACAAAAGCGTGTTGCTAGCACGCTGGACGAATGGTCCACGCATGCACCGCGTTCTACGACGCACGGCCCGCGCATTGGAAATCGGAAAAGGCCGTGTGCCTAACTTTTGTCATGATTTTGGAAAAGCTAGCGAGCTGACAAAAAATGCACAGCGTGTAGCTAGCGCGCTGTGCGTATACAGGGCGTGTGCTCCGCGTATGTCTGGCGCTGGTCTAGCGCGCTCCACGCATGTCTGCCGGGCCTTTGGCGTGTACATTCATGCGTCGAGCTTCGCGAATGCATAGCGCTGGTCCAGCGTTGGTCCAGCACGCTCGACGAACGAGTAACGAATGATGACGCACTGGCCCAAATTGCCAATTTCCAATGCGCTGGCCGTGCGTTCCCCATGCTTCCCCTCTGTGTGACCGGGCCTTTAGGAAGGCGAAACATGAACGTAAGGTGATCCTCTGCCTATTTTAAATGATAATTGAAACTTTATATGATGTACTTCATATCATTTGTTTCTTCCTCAAATTCTTTTTTGTTCTGTTGTTCGATAATAGCTATTCAACTAGACCAATAGCAAAGACATCAAATATTAAAGCCATGGACGGCCCTACCACATACTAACCGAAATGATATATGTTGCATTGAAGTGAAAATGAGGCATATACTTTGGTATCACATCACCAAAATGATTACATAAACATATATCATAAGACAATAATTAAAAGCAATCTGTCAGACCGATTAGATTCACTAGATCTATTTAATATGAACTCCTTTATAGAGTACCAAAGTGTGATGTCATTTACTGGCCCCGTTGCCTATGTTGCTGGTTCCAAACGATTTTGGACTAAACAATGGTGTGGTGATCTAGGCGCGGATCCTGGATTTCTTGGGGGGGGGGAGGCCCAAATTTGAAATTATGCGAGCTAAATATTGGTACGTAATGGTAACCGCGAAGCGCGAAAGCTTCGACATTTCAATAAATTATTAAAGAAAGAAGGCGATTCGTTGTACCGTTCCCCAAAATAATCCTCGTCTGAATTATGTTTTCCCCTACCCCCCCCTCCTGCGCAAGCTTTTACGTCTCATTAAATCATTAAAGAAAGAAGACGATTCGTTGTGTCGTTATCGACTCTTAAATTCGTCTAACTTCAGTTTCCCCCCTCCCGCGCGAAGCGCGGAAGCTTTTACATTTCATTAAATCATCAGAGACAGAAGACGATCTGTTGTACCGTTCTCGACTCTTAATCCTTGTCTAAATTCAGTTCCCTCCCCTCCCACGCGAAGCGCGGAAGCTTCGACATTTCATTACATTATTAGCGAAAGAAGACGATTCGTTGTACCGTCATGACTTTTAATCCTCGTCTAAATTCAGTTTCCCCCTCCCGCGCGGAGCTTTTACGTTTCATTAAATCATTAGAGAAAGAAGACGATTCGTTGTACCGCTATGACTTTTAATCCTCGTCTAAATTCAGTTCCCCCTCCCCTCCCATGCGAAGCGCAGAAGCTTCGACGTTTCATTAAATTATTAGAGAAAGAAGACGATTCGTTGTACCGCTCTCGAAAATAATCCTCGTCTGAATTTATTTTCCCCCTCCCGCGCAAAACGCGGAAGCTTTTACGTTTCAATAAATCATTAGCGAAAGAAGACGATTCGTTGTACCGTTATGAATTTTAATCCTCGTCTAAATTCAGTTCCCCCCCCCCTCCTACGCGAAGCGCGGAAGCTTTTACGTTTCATTAAATCATTAGAGAAAGAAGACGATTCGTTGTACCGTTCTCGACTCTTAATCCTTGTCTGAATTAAGTTCCATCCCCCCCACCTTCCTGCCCGAAGCGCGGAAGCTTTGACGTTTTATTAAATTATTAGAGAAGAAGACGATTCGTTGTACACTTCTCGACTCTTAATTCTGTCTGAATTTCAAAAATGTTCTTTGTCTACTCCCTTTTCTTCCTACGTCCTCTTCCTTTTCACTCCTCATTTTTCAGGGGTTTAAGGCAATAATTTACGGTCAGATTAGCATTCAGGGGTCCGCCTTAGGGCCCTAGGTGGGGTCCAGGGGGCAGAGCCCCGGAAGCACAGGGGTTTTAGGCATTTAATTATGGTCAGATGACCATTATTTTGATACCTAATTGTGACACTGGCAGGTCACTAATTGGCGTGGGGTTCAGGGGGCGGAGCCCCCGGAAGCTCAAGGGTTTTAGGCACTCAATTACGTCTAGATGAGTATCAAGGGGCCCGCTTTAGGGCTCTTGGTTGGGTCCAGGGGGCAGAGCCCCGGAAGCTCAGGGGTTTTAGGCGTTTAATTATGGTCAGAGGTGCATTTTTTGATACCTTACTATTTTGTGACACTGGCAGGGCAATATTTGGAATGGGGTCCAGGGGGTAGAGCCCCCAGAAATCAGGGGTTTTAGGCATTAAATTACCGTCAGCTGAGCATCTAAGGGCCCGCCTTAGGGCCCTAGGTGGATTCCAGGGGGCAGAGCCCTCGGGGTTTTAGGCATGGTCAGATGAGCATATTTTGATACCTCATTATAATGTGACACTGGCAGTTAACTATTTTTTCTTTCTTGCTCTCTTTCTTTCTATTTCTCTTTAATATATTTTTCAAAAAAAGTGTTGGGGGGGGGGGGCCCTCGAGGATTCCGATCCCTGCCGTTCCGCGGGCCCTGACATGTAGGCATCTCAAGAAGCATTTTCTTGCCTGGCTGTAAATTTAGGAATTTGTCATTTTCCAACAAACGCATAAAAAAGTATAATTTACTTAAAAGTGAGGAAAAATCTCGGAAAATTATGTCATTTCAGCACTATTTGTAAACCATCGTTATGGAATTAGAATTAAACCACGTTTGAATTCATTTCCCCAAAGCCCCCCCCCCCCCCCTGATCTACACCTTGTTGGCGGGAAAATTGCAACTGATATCCCTTACCTTTCTTCATTCTCTTTTTTTCTTCTTTCCCTTTCTCTCTTTCCCTTTCCCTTACCTTTCTTCATTCTCTTTTTTCTTCTTCCTCTTTCTCTCTTTCCCTTTCCCTTCCCTTCCTTCTCTCTCTCTTTTAGGTTTGCTGGGGGGGGGGGGGGGGGGGAGGGCAAGGTCATTTTGACCCCCACCCCGCTCAACACTTTATTGTTGGCGGGATTATTCGCAACTGATCTCCCCTTCTTTTCTCCCTTTTCTTTTCTTCTTCTTCTTTTTTCCTTCCCTTTATCTCCTCTTTTCCTTTTTTTCTTTCCTTTTCCTTCCTTCTCTTTTATTTTTTGATTGGGGGGGGGGGGGGAGGCAACAGCCTGGCAGGCAAGTCCTCCCCCGGATCTCCTTCTTCCCTCTTTTCTTTTCTTCTTCCTCTTCTTTTTCCCTTTTTCTCCTCTTTCCCTTTCCCTTCTTTTCCTTCTCTCTCTCTCCTTTTTTTTTTGGCGGGGGGGGGGGGGGGGGGCAAGGCCCGCTCGCCCCCCTGGATCCGCGCCTGTGGTGATCACACTAGCCCCAAACATTGGATTTGCCCTGCTCCAGCTCATTGCTTGAATGATTTTGCGGTGAATCCCGTGCAAAGGCTTTGTTGTTTACAACCAGTTACTTGGACGACGACCAAATATGATGTTAGCACTTTGGTGCTTCATTTGATGTGTTATTAAGTTCATTAATTTTCTTCAGACCAAACAAATGGTACGTGAAAGTTTGAAACAATCATTTAAGGCAAGGCATATTATAACACCAATTAATCTTATTTTGCCTAGAAGGAAGTTTGACCTATCCTTTCTTTCTCATCAATTTTTCCATTAGGGCTTGGTGGAGCTCGGATTTAGAGAAAGAGTTGCTGTCTTTGGTAAAAGACGTTTCTCCAAGACACTACTACGACTTGTGCAAGGCTCTAGATATCTCCGATAAACAAAGTGAAGTGATTTTAACACAAAACCTCTTACATGTGTCCGATTCACTATATGAAGTAATCCACAGCTGGAGAGTCAAGCAGAGGGATGGCACTTATTACAAGAGATTTCTAGCCGAAAAACTCAGAACTGTACATTTAGATGCATTGGCATCAAAACTAGTAGAAGGTGAGTTCGCTGCGCAATTTATTTGAAGTGACTCAGTAACATTGTTCAAGGTTGATGAAAAAATTGTGTAATTTGGGTATGAAATGGTACTTATTATATTCCTTGTACTGTACCTACCCTCTAACAGGCAAAACATCCTGAGAAAATTCTGAACCCACAAAGTTTTGTATGGTTTTCTTTGAAAGCGTTACTGTGCAACGCCCTCTAACAGTAACTAACAGTAAGTTCTGCCTGCCATTTTTGAATTTTCTCAACCTCTTTTCCGTATTGAAAATAAGACATAAGACAGGCTTTTAAAGATCCTTCATCACTTAAATGTCTAGAATGTATACTTAGCCGATATATTGCGTTGTGACGATTTACATTCACCTAAAGTGTAATTAAATTGGAATAATATAGTTTGGAGAATTAAGGAATCGATCAGATCAGTTTTTCCCAATTGTTATCTTTAATAATGGTCAGTATTCACTCCAAATTTCAGATTATCTTTAATTGTACATCTAGCATTAAGCATTATTTTCTCCCATCTGAACAATGTTACCAAGTCCCTTTAACGCGACTGTCTGTCCTTGAAATATGTGTAGACCTATGTGACGCCTGGGGGAGGGGGATGGGGTCACTCCAAGTCAATAGTCATCCATGTATTTCAACAAGAATATCACTGGATCTAACATCGAATTTGCATGTGGACATGGGGGGAAGGAGAAATAATGATGGGCATTTCCCTTCCCTCCTCAAATCCCTTCTTTACGTATGTACGTGTAGATTTGATTTTGACATGGCATATTTTACAAAATATTCTGATGTAATTAGTTGCACTCATATTCACTAAATTTTGTGTTGGTAGAACTTTGAAAAGAAGTAAATAATTTAGCCACATTTATTTTTGAATTTCTTTAAGAAATAGATGTCTTAGACTTAGATTCCTTCTTATCTTCTCATTGTTGAAATTTGGCTTCATAAGCTGTAAACATCATTGTCTCGTAAGGTGAGCTATGCAGCGGGTAACATTTAACGAAAATCTGGATGATTTATTAGGTTTATCAAGGATTTTATCATTTTTTATAAAATTTACCACGCGATAGTTCCTTTCTTAACTTAAAAATGCAGTTACTTTTTCCAGATTGGAACTCTTGTTTGTAGGGGATGGGAAGGGGGCATGTGCTCCCTGAAATAACGTAATGGTCCGTCATAAAAGGGGCACAAAAAAGCAACATTTTGTGAGGAAATGACTGCATGAACACAGTTATACAGCAATCAATTAGTGTAAAGGTGGAACCATGGGAGGGGGCAAAATTTACTCGTCTGACAAATTGTTCGAGGCCTGCCACGTTCAGTAGTAGATTTTTATTTTACATTTGTGCCCCCAAATTGGGTATAAACATGTACTTGATCTCCTTTAAATTAAAACTTCTGAGCTGTTCATTTGCATTTTTTAATTTGATCACATGTCCTGTAAATATTGATCAACATGAAAATGTTAAATTACATATTTATTTTAAAGAGCATTCAATTTAGATACAGTTGTCTCGTTTTAACTTATAGGTGGATACTCGACAAAGGGAAGCCCAACTCAGTGTGAGTATACATGATTAAGTCCCGCAAATATTTACAGCGTGGAATGTTGTTATTTTTTGGAAACAGCATGAAACTAGGAGATCTAATGACAGCATTTATACTAGAATAAATTCAGATGTCAAGTCGAATATTAAAGAGCCAGGAGTGAGGCCAATATTTCCCAAAACTTCAAAGCATACATGTGTATTACTATAACCCTACGTTGACAATTAACATATAAAACGATTCAAAAATTCTTCATGAAATTCAGATTGTTCACAATACTAGTTGAAATACTTGGGGTAGGTAAGGTGTGAATAGCTTGATAAACTAGACCTACAGTTAGGATAGAGACATAGTTGACAAGCTTAATTTGTCTCTGGTCATAATATGTTGAGTGGTGTGCATGTTCATTCGTGCCACTCATACTCATAAGTGTTGCAATACATGTATGTCTACCATCGTAAAGATGAAATGTAGGGGCTATGGGAATAAAAGGACTCTCTTTATGATGTTTTATGTCATGCTATTCTTTCTTGTTTTGACTGTTTTATTGGATCAACCTTTCACCATACCCGTTTCTTCTTTACATTATGCAGCTTCAGTTGCAGATGAGGTGCACCCTGTAAACAAGCTCACACAAGAAGAGGTGAAGTATAAAATCAAGACTGATCCACTCGACTTTGATTGTGTAAAGGAGTTTGTAAACATTTACACAAATTTAAGATTAAAACAGCTAAAGTATGATAAACTTTTTACAAAGCAAATAAATGGTGAATTTCCGAAACGTCTTGTGGTAGAAGGTGAAGGAGGCGCGGGTAAAACGACGTTTTGCTCAAAGATTGCTTGGGACTGAGCAAATGGTTACAAGGCATATGAACATTTTGACTGGGTTCCTAATGCAAGATATTCAAATTGCTAAACTGTTGGTAAAATTGCAAAGACATATCTATCAGATGTTAATACGGTTAAACCACGTCAGATCGATGACTACATGTACATATTATCCGACCTGTATATTTGATGGGTTAAATGAAAATAGCAGGGATATCGTCATCGACGAATCTTACTTTGGAAAAAGCATACAATCAGAGAAATTCGAAAAAATGTATTCTCCTAAACTCATCACGACCCTCGAAAGCAAACCCGATCAAATCGCCACAAAGACTTCGTAAAATAAACATCTTCATCAGCGTGGAAGGGTTAAGTCCAGGAAATGCATCATCTTACATAAATAAATACTCTGTGGATGACAAAATGGCAGGAGCAGATTTAAAAAAGTTTATGGAAGATAGCGATGTGATTAAAATGAACATGGCCTCTTTCCCTATCTACGTAGCAATTCCTCTGCATCTTGTGGCGGGAATCTACAAAAGAGATCGAGGCTGGAAGTAATTCGTAAATTTTAAACATTTTCACAGTTGTTCCATCACATGGTCACATTTCCTAAAGAGCATTAAATATCAAAAAGTTGCTTCGCCCTTTGTTCAGAACTTCTTACCATTGCTACCAAAAGCTTGATACTCTCTAAATTTGAAAGTCTTATTTTTAAATGTTAAAGTCTTACTTTTAAATCTAACAGAGACTGATATTAGTGACGAACCCTTTGGGATTTAAAATAAGTCTAAGCTAAGACTTGAAATTTTAAGTCCCTGAAAAGGTTTAAAATTTAAGTCAATTGGATTTATATTTCAAGTCTTTTAATATTTATTTTAAACCTTTCTTGGATTCATTTCAAAAATAAATCTAAGCTAAGACTTAAAATTTTAAGTCCCTGAAAGATTTAAAGTTTAAGTCAATTGTATTTATATTTCAAGTCTTTTAGATTTACTGGTCTAGCTAAGCCATTAGAACCATTTGGTAAAACTTCCAACCAATTGAACGGCAACATTTTAAGTCTCAAAATGGATTTAAAATTTAAGTCCTAGAAATTAAGAGAGTATATTTCTTATAAAAATGGGTCAAATTGCCTTTTCTGGAAAAGTCCGGTGTGTAAAGTCAATACGGGTCGACCTTTTTCTTTTGTTATACGAGCCTTTTTCAGCCCCCCCCCCCCTTTTTCAGCAAAAGTCCGGTGTGTAAAGTCAATACGGGTCGGCCTTTTTCTTTTGTTACGAAAAGGACATTTTGGTAACACGCATGGGGTCCGTCCGTTCTCGGAGTGGGGGGGGGGGGGGGGCTCGAGCCCCGAGCCACGACGTTCTGCAGGCCCTGACATGAAGGCTTCTTAATAACCTTATTTTTTTCGCCCGACTGTTAATTTGGAAAGTTGTAATTTTTTCCAACAAACGCATAAAAAGGTACGATTTTAGTACAAACAAAATTGAGAACCCCCCCCCCCCCCCCCGGAAAATCATGTCATTTCAGCAACATTTGTAAATCACTGGTATCAAATTAAAAATACCCCCACCCCATCAGTACGCCAGTGTTCAGGGGCTTATGTCTTCTCACCTCTATAATACAAAACTCACGCGCTTTCCCATCCTCTCACAATATTTCCACGATATGCGCGTATCGCTAGTATAAAAACCTCCATTTATAAATATAGGGGCATGCGGAGTGTATGGGAAATTTAATTCCTGTTAACTTTCCTTTTCTTTGAAGGGAATGTAATTTGTATATGATTCAATCCAGGTTTTATTATTGTTATGTTCTTTTTGGTTAAAAAATAAAAACCATCTTTACTCCTTTACTGCTTTTTTTTAAGGGGAGGATTGGGGAGCGCCCCCCCCCCCCCCACTTCCGTCGCCTATGTCTGCAAGCACAGGTTCTTATTTGACTCTACCACAATTTCTTAAGCCTTGAGCGCAGAGCCTGGATCTGTCAGTTTCTGGAATGATTGAATTGAACAGAAATAAATTCTGCAATTTACATGTGTTATTCTTTAAATGACTAATTAATTTCAAAAGTCACAGGATCCAAGAAATAAGGTGTTTGCATGGTGATTAGAAATTTGGAAAGAAAAAAGGCCTCGACAAAGAAAATGCTTTGATACTGTTCTTTCAATCAAACATGTGTTACACTGCATGTTTTCCACATGCTCTAGACAGAAACTCATCATGACAATTAGGTGGAAAAGACGTGACAAACGGGGGAACTAAATCACTCTTTTAAAATTAAAAATGTAACATCTTCTGTTCTGTATTACATTTTGTGAAAGTGCTAAAGACAAAAACGGAAATTCTGAGATTGTATGTTTTTATGATAAGAAATCATGGAGATATATTAAAGTTATAATTTTGAAGCATATTTTCAACTGTGTACTCTTTTTGATACTCACATTATAGGTCATGTGATTCAAATACAACAAATACGGTACAGCTGTTGAACAATGAAGAGACTCCGCGACCAAAAATTGTTACGACTTTGTATATGTATGTGAGATTTTGCTTTAAGGTTATTTCCATATAATGAAATTCATATTCCTCGCCGGTATGTTTTGTTATATTTTTCCAGAGCCTACTGTTCGAAGAGGCCTTGATGAACCGTAAAGAAAGCCCAACGAAAGAAAGTGAGAAGCCTGTCGAATCAGTAGATGATGATGAAAGGGTAAATAATGTTGACGACGAAGATAATGATGATGATTTGATGATGATGGTGTTGCTACCAGCTTAATACTACTATTACTAATATTACTACAACTACTACTACTACTGCTACTACTACTACTGCTACTACTACTACTACTGCTGCTGATGCTGTTGCTACTCCTCCCACTTCTACTACTATTACTACTACTACTACTACTACTACTACTACTACTACTACTACTACTAATGATTCAACTACTCCTACTTGTAATACTACTATTACTACTACTACTACTATACTATTACTATGACTACTACTACTATAACTAATACTTCTACTTCTACTACTACTTCTACTTCTTCTACTACAAATACTTCTACGAATACTCCTATTTCTATACTACTACTACTACTACTATTACTAATACTACTACTACAACTGATACTACTACCACTTCTACTATTAATACTATTCCTTTTACGGATACTACTACTACTACTACTGCTACTACTACTATAACTACTACTGATACTTCTACTACTACTTCTACTTCTACTTCTACGAATACTCCTACTTCTACTACTGATTCTACTGCTACTACTACTGATGCTACTACTTTTTCTACTATTGATACTACTCCTTTCACTGATACTATTAATACTACTACTACTACTACTACTATAACTACTATTGATTCTACTGCTTCTACTACGGATGCTACTACTTCTACTATTAATACTACTACTATTACTGTATAGTATTAATGACTGCTTTGAGAGAAATAGTTGTTTTTATACGCTCAAGGGAAGGTTAGAATTGTGCTATTGACCGAGGCGTGCCGAGGGCAATAGCCCAATTGTAACCTTCCCGAGAGCGTATAAAAACAACTATTTCTCGAATATTAAAGCAGTCATTAAAACTTTTATATGCCGAAAACAAAAGAGTCAACTAATGACACCACCTTGGCCTTTCTCTAGGTTATCTGCACGCTTGTTTTTTATGAGTGTATCTTTGAGAGTAGACTAGATCTAGATTCTAGTCTAAGCAAGATATTTTTACAATTTTGAGGGTGGGCCGGCCCTGTGGGAAATATGGAGAAGAACCTGCGCTTTCATATGATACCTCACTTATTGAGTATCACCTTCAGGATCACAACAGATAAGGTTTGAATCTCGAATTGAAAAAAAAACTTTACCTTTTTTGCATGGTCGCGGAATGCACGTAGGCTGCATAGAGACTGCATTGCGTACAATCTCTATGGGAATAATTTTAACACACAACATGCATCGGGTGCGCGATCAGACACCCTGACAACTAGATCTATTTTCTTATCTTTGAGAGTAGACTAGATCTAGATTCTAGTCTAAGCAAGATATTTTTTACAATTTTGGGGATGGTCGGCCCTGTGGGGAATATGGAGAAGAACCTGCGCTTTCATATGACACCTCACTTATTGAGTATCACCTTCAGGATCACAACAGATTATAAAGGATTGAATCTCGAATTGAAAAAAAAACTTTACCTTTTTTGCATGGTCGCGGAATGCACGTAGACTGCATAGAGACTGCATTGCGTACAATCTCTATGGGAATAATTTTAACACACAACATCGGGTGCGCGATCAGACAACCTGACAACTAGATCTATTTTCGTCTAGAGTCTATACGTCTATGCTTTTTCAGCAACTAAACGAACATGTTTATGGATAATTTCACGTACCCTTTTTGTTGTTCTTGCTGTCAGCGAGTCTTGCATTTGATAAGTTGAAATCTTGGGAGAGATTCTTGAGCCATTTTTGTCTTTAGTGTTTGGAATTGTCTTGTCTTGTATGAAAATACCGACCAATTCTTCGCACACGTACGGTATCCTCGATCGCTCAGACCATTTTTTAACATGTAAACCTATGGGGTAACCATGGAGACTGAACTATTTTCCCAATAACCATGGTTACTGGGATTATAGAACTGTTTTAACCATGGTTACTGGGAATTTAACAGAAATAGTTGAAGTTTACGAATGCAATTTCGACCACTCAGATGGCTTGATTTCTTAAGTGAGGTATATAAATACTACTACTACATCTTATACTACGACTACAACTACTACTTCTACTTCTCATACTACTTCTACTTCTTCTACTACAAATATTTCTACGAATACTCCTACTTCTAATACTTCTACTACTGATACCACTGCTACTACTACTGATACTACTACAACTTCTACTATTGATACTACTCCTTTTACTGATACTACTTATATACTACTACAACTACTACTACAACTCCTTCTACTACTATTACTGATACTACTACTACTATTACAACTTATACTACTATTACTACTACTTTCACTTCTAATGATAATGATATTAATAACGATACAATTATTACATGTATATTACACTATTAATAGTAGTAGTAGAGGTAGGAGAACTAGAAGAAATATATCGTAGTAGTAGTAGTAGTGGTGGTAGTAGTAATAATCATGATGATATTAATAACATTCAATTTATGTAGCGTAATATGATCAGGTTTACCATGTTTACCGTGCATTTTTTTTTAATGTAAATTCTCTGTCTGAGGGAGGACGCAATGGGGTATTGAAATTGATTTCTCAAAGTCTTTTAGATCTTGTTTAACAACTAGATCGTCCGTTCGTGTCTCCTTAGATCAAGATAGTTATGTAAAAATCCTTAATTAAAAGTAAATTAAATTAAATTAAGTTCTTGCATCGCCCGATTGATGCAATGGCCGTTTCATTAACAAGGGCCAGGTCTTCATCTGTGCAACCCGTTCCGCCGCACTGCAAGATGTGGTCCATCTTCTGAGTCTCTCCGCAGTCGCAGAGAGTATCTCCTTCATGGGCATAGCCCCATCTTTCCATATTGACCTTACACCGCCCCATTTTCGATATATAGAAGACTAGATATATTCAATTGATTGTTTTTCATTTTTCTTAATTGTTAGTTTTTCTGTGTGTTTGATTGTGGTCGTTTTCTTTCTTTTTTATGCTAGGTAAATTGCTTCGGTTTTACGGAAGAGTTAAGTGCTAACTTACTTGATACAAAAGTATTGACTATCAACGTGAAAGCACCTGAGGAACATGAAGGTAATACTGACAATAATAATTTAAAATAATAATGTTGTTTATTTGGGAAGCCATATCAGCTTTAATGCTGTTCTCCTGAAGGCTCCACAATCATTTTTACTGCAGCAATTGCCATGTGCCTATTTAGACCTCATTGGAGAGTGGTACATCTGGATTAATCTCTAATTGCTGAAGGACATAAGAGCCGAGCTGGGATTCAATCCTTGGATTGAGAGTCAAGTGAATGAACCACTATACCGTGACCACAACACTTTGTATGCGGGGGCGGGGACTGTCATGAACCCTCGCCCGCAAAAAACGACTTTTAAGACAAAAATAATCTATAAAATGAGCGAGTACAAATATATACTTTTCTTTTTGTTTATGCGTTCGTGTGTGTGTGTGTTTGTATGTGCACACACACGCACGCACACACACAGACACACACACGCCAACATGGAACAGATCCTTGCCTTTTAATCCACGGAGACCTGTGGTCCTTTCTTTAACATAACATCAGGATGAAAATAAAAACAGATTACTTTGTTTTGACCGAGACAGGTTTTGATACATCACTTCCGTCATATAGAAACATTTTGTTTGAGAAACTCCAACTCTCATTCTTTCATTAGATCTCTGATAAATGGTATGGTATGGGTTTTTTCTTCTACAAATCATGATATTAATTAAATATATGCAAAGTTGAAAAGTACATTTAAATCAAGAATATTGTGAAAGGCTGGAAAGCCCACTCAGCTTTGTTAACATGACAAAACTTTTCTTTTTTGGGGTCCACATAATTAGTCTGAAAAAGTAGGACATCTAGAAAACACAAAAGGCAAATAATTAAAAAAAACATCATATTTTATTTATATCCTACAGCATTTCTCAAGGAACAGGAACCCCAGTACCATCCTGAACAGGCAGAGGAACCACAATACCACCCGCCAATAACATCATGGGCATGGGATGCAGACCGTGATAGAACCATTCTTGATCTCCAACAATCGAACTTGCCCTTGACAGAAGTTTTGTCCTTTGTAGCTCAATCCTGTCCAAAATTACGTATTCTAAGACTACATGCAAACGTACCAGTGTCCATTTCCGAGGAATCAGTCCTCGAGAGCGACTCCACAACGTACGTCGATAAGAGTGATGAGGATGATTCATCCGAATTTGAATTATACATGCGATGTCGTCAGACGACTGACGTCCCATTTAGAGCTCTGCTGGCGATTGTTTCCTCCATCTTTCCCAAAATATCTGATCTCACGTTGGATGGAGATGACCAAACCAAGCTTGATATATTGGGGTACATGCACCCGCTTCCCAGTAGCTTCCTCCCAAAACTTCGTAGGTTGTGTTTACAACAGTTTGTGGGACCTCTTTGCCTGCTAACCTTTTTTAAATGTGTCGTCGAAAAACTTTCACATCTCCCGTTTCTTCAAATATCGCAGTGCAATGTAAATGTTCAAACAGAAAGTGAGATGGAGTTCAATGAATCCGCTCTGTCTCACCTGGAAATCATTCCAGCTAATGTAATACCTTTCGCATGTCTAAACGAACTGGTATTCAAGGCTTTCAAAAGCATAACAAATTTCATGGTCCAGAATATAGCAGCTGAACACCAAATCTACCTACTCCTAAACTGGACCAAGACAGGGCAAATGCCCACTGAAAAGCTTTATTTGAAACAGTCAACACCCTTGAAAGCTTTCAAAGACCTCCTGACTATTGTGAATAAGTTCCCTAGGATAAGTAAACTTGAGACAGATGAGTGCGGTTCTTTAGAAAGAACAGAAATACTTGAAATAGTAAGGACGTGTACACAACTACAATACTTCTCTTCTGTTGCAAGTGGTGTAAGCTGTATTCTTGCCATTTCTGATCAGTTCATGCGGAAATCCACCTCTAAACCTATCAGCAAATCATTTGGCAAGCTAGGAGGGGAGCTAAGACTTGAGACACACGACATTACGCTTTGTGTGCCAAAAGGAGCCATACAGGGAGAAGGGGAAATTGAAATTGTTCTCCAGGCGTTAACCAATTCTTCATCCACACACTTCCAAGAGGACGAGATGGTTTGCAGCTTCGGATTCCAGTGCACTGTTCCGAATGCACCAGGTTTCAGGTTCGCAGTGCCTGTCAGAGTGACCCTTCCGCATTGTGCCATCCTTGATGACCCTTCCAAAGTCGCGACAGGGATCTACCATGGTGAACTGTGGCATGATACAGGTACAAAAATCTTCTTTCTATGTCATGTGCTTCCAAGCAATACCCCAGTCACACCAACAAGACTGACAATGAACCAAAACAGGCCAAAACACAACACAAAAACAAACAAAATTAACTTCTTTGAATGACCAAGAATATTTGGTACAGTTGAATTCAGTGTGAGGTAAGTTTATCACCGCGTACTAATCATTATTCAGTATGCATATAAAACGACATTTCAGTTGTATATATACTTTTTGTCTTTTGTTTAACACAAAATGCAGGATCCGTTTTTATAAGAGTTTGTTTTCTACTACTACTACTACTACTACTACTAATACAACTACTACTACTACTTCTACTTCTAGTACAACTACTCCTTCCCACGTCTAAAGGGGAAATTGAGCCCCCGAACCCCATAGAAATGCTCCTGCCAAAATGAGTGTTTGCCTTTCTGCCAAATGATAAAGGATTTCATTTGGTTTATATATTATCTTGATGATGATTTTTAAATGCTTGGCACTTCCATCTACTTATTCTTAGGAGATGTGGAGATCAGTACTATCACTTACATCCCGCCGTCAGAACATAGACTTCCAAGGTGTGAGGTGGATGAAAAGGAGATAACCGTCTTCATTGACCACTTTTCATTTGAATGGCCAGTCCTGAAGATTCGCAACCCCTTTGTGAAAGGCAAGCGGTTGGGATGCTTGCCCTTCGTACCCAAAAAGATGCCCCCTATGAAGAAACCAATCCTAAGGGTGTATCTCTTCGACATCGTTAGAGGCAATCCCGAGGTAGATTCATTTATTCCTTTAAATCATTGTTAACCCTTTCAAGACTAGAATCCTTTAAGGGCTATAAAATTGATCACATCGTGTTCTTCAAATTGGCAACATTGGATATTTGCCTTTTATTGCTACATAATGTCCCTGAAAGCAATATACATGGGTGATTTTCAACGAAAAGTTGAAAAATGGCTAATATTGATCAAAACGATGATTTTAAACCTCTTGACGTTTTGACATTTTATGTATTTTAAAGCTTTGCCTCGTTTTCGTTTTTAAAATTATTTTTTCATTTCTTTTTTTCATTTGTTAGCTTTGCCATCAAAATTAACTACCATTGCAACATCACTCAGCAGCCAATCAAATTAAGTTTTCCATTTCATTGTAATATTATCACAAATGGTGCTACTTTCTTAGCCCTCTTCGGTGCAATGATTATTATTGTCTAGCCAAATAGTTGAAGGGGAAGTCCACCCTGGTATGAATTTAAATTCTATAGAAGCAGAATTAAGAAAGAAACGGATCAGTGAAAGTTTGAGTAAAATCCGACTAATAGACAAAGAAATTATGAATTTAAGAGTTTTAATCAAACACAACTATGTAACGTATTAAGATGTACCATGCAAGGTGACTTTCCTTTGGTTTGTACTAAAATGTATTTTTATTGATATATTTCTAATTTCTCTAAGCACCATTTTATTATTATTGTTATTATTATTATGATTCTAAACAACCCATCTGTGGAAAGAAAACAAATTCCTTCATAAACAACTAAGAAAATAGAAATTTTCTCTATGCCTACCGAGAGGACCTCGCAAGATTTATCACAAAGATGCCAATTAGTGTTTTATTGATAACAACTTCAACAAAAGCTTTCCTATTTTTATCGGATTTCGCTCAAACTTTCAGTGATATGTTTTTCCATTATTTCTCCGGTTTCAAACCAAACTAAATATCATTACTATATGCCCCTAGAAACATGTTATAATCAGGATAATGCATGTTATCTGTGATGTTGATAATGTTCATGTATTTTAAAGGAGATTGAAAAGGATGAATCTAAATGTGACTTCCGCATGGCTCGTCCTAAGATTGAACTCCAGGCGAGAGACGACCTAGTTGTCACTTACGGTATGGATGGAAGCAACAACCATGACAACAAGCAGAGTCTGGTAGATGCATACTTATATCTCTTTACCCATATAATCATTTCAACCCATAACAGTTAGGAGTTTTCATGAAGTCTAAATAAATAAATAAAATCAATAAATTAGCTCCTGGTCAAATTTTCAACAAGTATCCCTATTTACATATACATGATTAAAAAAAAAATGTATATCAAAAGAATCTATGTTGATAAAAGAAAAAAATCAACAGAAAATTGCCAAATTGTACACAAACAGATATGGTCATTATAAATTTCTCACCATGTTGCCAGCTTAGAGACTTCATGATTATTTACATTTAAATAGTTCTTATTCATGAACAGCGCAATATACTGCATTAAAATCAAATAAAGATCTTCTCTGATATTTGCTCTTTCTTCTCAATTATAATGTGTGATTCTGTATCAAAAGATATTACAAAAAAGTCTCTAAAAGGAGATAATGCTTACCAATTGTCTAAAATAATAGGCCGATCCATTTTGAAATAAAAACACGAAACTAAACAAAACAAAACGGTCCTCAGAGTTTCCTGTTTGTTTGTTTGTTTATTTTGTTTTATTTATTCCTTTTCTTTGCTGATAAGGGTAAAACACAATGAAATTATTTCTCCACCTTGACCTACCCTCAGCAACAAGGCATTCCCTATGTTTTAGACTTGTCTACATTTTTTTGGCAAGAAAAAAATATGAGTAGGCAATACCCTTAGAATACATCAATCCTTTCATAATTTCCCTGCATCACACAAAGAAGGAAATATCCACAGTGAAGTTTATTGCAGTGTATTGTAATACATTGATAGCTTTGTTACGAACTTTTTGAGAATATGATTTTAGAGGTGTCATAGTATAGGGGTTCATTCACTTGACTCTTTATTCTTAATCCCACTCTGGCGCTAACGTCGTTTGGCAAAACATTAATCCACATCTGCCACTCTCCAGCCAGGTGTAAATGGGTAGCTGGCAATGCTGGGGTAGTAATTGCAGGGCCCTCAATTTTAAAGATTAGCTTCCCTGTGTAAACTATATTATTACTAATAATCATGATTTCACTATCATTATTATTTTCATTAAGATTATTATCATCACCATCATTTCTTTTACAATAATGAAATAACTTTTACTTTTGCACAGCGGACAATTCTGTTCAGTGACATCAGGCAATTGATCCAAAATACTGTCGACTTCAGGCTGGACTTCTCTGAACGCGTGGAACAGTTCGCTGCGGTTAATCTATCTGTAACTGAGGGTACTAAAAACAGGGGCAATCTTCCTTTCGACGTTGACTTCACAGGTGATTGATATTGATATGATTGACAAAGGAAAAAAACACTTTTTGATTAGTTCTGGTAAATTTGAACAACATTTTTGTGCGTTTTCTCTTTCTATTTATGACGGTTTGGCACACATCATGATGAAGAGGATTGGCCTTCAAATGCCCTCATCATACTAATATTTAAAATATGAATAGAAACAGCTGAAAATGAAGAGTTAGGACAAAGCTTTCCTGCCTCAGTAGTCCTCAGCTCTTACCCATTGTTGTATTCAGCGATTTTGATTTTCAGCCAATCTGCAGTGCTTAGTATGTTGAATAATAATTCAATGTGTTAAGAATTTCTACATTTTTCTACTCTTCAAAAAAGTAAATGATATCTCAGCCTCTATCGTATTACACATTTTACAAGTATATCTTTGTTAATTATATGTATTATATAGTTGTCAATTGAATGTGTGTTGACATTTTGGCCCCCACTGCCCCCATGAAGTACTTGGTATCTCAGTTACTGATGGGGCAAACCCTGATAAAATTAAACTTAATCAAATCAAATCAATTCATTTCTACAATAGGTGACGCATCAGGTTCTTCTCAGGGTGCCATGGCAGTTGAAGGATCGGCAAGGTCAGTGATGATGAATGCAGGGCGGGAGTTTTAACTCTTAACCCACTGCAGTTTAGAGTTGTTTTAACGTCTCAAACTCTAAATAATCAACTTTTCCTCCTCAATTTGGCACCAGTTATTCCCTTTTTTCCGATTCTATGGTTAACAAAATAAGAGTGTTCATTAAATGAATCATTGTGAATAAGAATTTTGTTATCAAAGTCAGTACAAAATTTGCTAATTTGTAGTATAGATTTTAAACCTTGTTCCCATTTTAGAGACTTACAGGACGGGTGACATGTGATTTAAGTTGATTCCTGTTGATCTGCAAGGCTGTATACAACTCATATTTTGTTATTCAAACATCTAAATATATTTCATAGATTGTTAAATTTAAAAATTAAAAAAATTCTCAGACCTGCTAAGCTCCACCCTAAAATAATGCTCCAGATCTCATTCATCTTGTGACATCATCTGTCAATCATTAGTGAGCTAACAAGAGACAGTAGTATGTAGATTCCCCAGAGCTGACCATCTGTTTACAATAGACCATACAATACCATCAGTATCAGGACAATTATCCCCTGGGCAATCATCCCCCCCCCCCCCAGGAAAATTACTCCCCCAAAATTACCCCCAAGGACAACCACCCTCCGAGGACAATTACCCCTTAGGACAATTACGACCCCCCCCCCCCCCGCCCGCAAAATTACTGCCTGTTCATTAATGGGGCCTTAAATATGTTTATTTTTTTCTAGCTACAGTACTTCGCAACTTGTGATGGCGGACATTTTGACTGACGAATTTATGCTAAAATTGTCAAAAAAGATTGATCCTCAGATGGTCACTGCAGCAGACTTCAGCATATACCTGGGACTCAGCCGAGCCGAGGGCGGTTGCGCAGCTATACAGGCCAATGTCGTCAAGAATCAACGTGAAGCATTCAAAGATCTCTTGAGCGAGTATGTTTTGAGAAATGGACGGAAGAGTGCCAGTGCTCTCAAGCTGAGAAACAAATTTCGAGAAAATGGAATGAAGGATTATGCTGATGTCATCGAAGCAGGTACGTAGATTATTCTTTTTTTTATGCTAATTTATAACGGAAACAACAACATAGTGATGACAAAAAATTACTGAGCTAAAAAACAAAGCCGATATAATACATTTCATATAGTCAATGAGCACCACTAGTCAAGATGTGACAGAACTCTTGAAAAAAAAAATCAACATTCAGCCTCCACTATGATATTATTTAACTGGTAATAATGTATTTTCCTCTTCATTTTCGTGCTTCAATTATTTCCATGCATATTTGGAGGCTATGACGTAAAATCACTGTAGTATAAAGTATTATGTGTAAGGGAAACAAACTCGAGAAAGAGTAGAGGGAGTCATTATCCTAGTCATTATCATGTATACATTTTCCCGACAAGAATCAACAAAGTGCATGATTTCAACATTTGTGTAATTAAGAGATAATAATAATTATAATAATACATGAGATTTGTATGGCGGCAAATCCATTAAATGATCATGGCGCAGCTTGTGCAAAAGATGAAATACATGAATAAAATCTCATCATGGGAGAAAAATAACCAAAACAAATGTTTAAATACAGTTCTCTTGCAAATGAAGCTTTGAAAAATTATTTACTGATCAAAAGTTTGAAGTTGTTGCCACAGCCAAAGTATGTCTAGCTGCTTTTGGAGAAATGACGCAGAACAGTGAGAAAACAGCAAGAATAAACATAAAACTGATCGATATTAAATTTGTTCAAAATTTCAATTCATTTGATAGCATGATTTTATTGATTGAGTATGACGATAATCATTGGCGTAGCTTGGGATAAGTCGATGGGAGCCACCAGTCTTAGTCTACTAAGTAAATCATCTTTTTTCTACCTTTTCTTTGGTCACTGTACTCTTTCAGGGTTTGAACAGTTTTGCGTCACCCCAACGAGGGGGGGGGGGGGCACTTTGTTGTGCTATAAATTTCATTTAATTTGAACAAATATAATAGATAAGGTTACATATTTGGGTGCCATGCTGCCTTAATCATGACAATATTAGGGTAGCATATGGGGATATTCATCGAGGAAAAAGACACTTTGTTATCTCTGAAATGATATTTCTTATCTTACTATTTCACATTCTGTTTCCCTCTTCCTTCACTTCTCCCCTCGGTCTCACTTTTTTATGCTATCAGATTGGGCAGGGAAGGGGGCAGGGGGGGGGGGGTAAACGTGCCCCCGTTCCCCCTCGTAGCTACGCCAGCGATGACAATACAGTTTCAAAAAATTAAAAAATTAAAACTGTATTGTTATCGTACTCAAAGTGGGTAAAAACAAATAATTTATTTACCCTAAGAATAAATAGAAGAAAAGGAGAAAGAGATAGAGAGACAGAGAGAAGGGAAAGCGAGAGAAAGAGAGGGGCGAAATGTTAAAACATATTTGTGGCTTACACCCAGTAATTACATATATCAAACTGAATAAATAAATAATAATAGTTGTAGAGAGAGACGGGAGAAAAAGAAAAGTAATTCTTTTGTTCTTAAACCATTACAAATTAATTTTTTGCTTTTGTCTCCAGAATTAAAGAAGTTTAACATTCCTGTCCCGTCTGACGAAGACAGTCATTGAAATGAACAAAGCTGTATCCTCCCCGAACCCTCCTTGCGGCACACCAGGTAATAATATTCACACCTTTATATTCCTCTTGGAAGCTTAATGAAGCAACCACAACTTTCCGCTATCACAAAAATGCTATTTGTCTGGAGGCCTACCAGCCCAGCACTGCAGCAGGGAGTACATATGCTACGCACCATTAAATTGCACAATGTGGTACTGTGGCAATATGGGCAATGAGGAAACAAAATGCGTTTTCAGGGAATTTATCTTATTATCAATAGTTAATCAAATGAAATTTATAGGAATAACGACAAAGTCTTTCTGTTCAGACAATATAAATATATTTATAACTATTTCCAATACTGAGAGACATATGCTTCCTCTGCTCCCCCTGTTGATAAAGGTAGGTCAATATTATAAAAGAGCTATTTTGGGCGATCTTACGAGGTCCTCATATTTGCTCTGTACATAAAATATCATAAATTTTCATTTTCTTCGTTATTTGTGCCAGAATTTATTTTTCCAATACAGGGGTTGTATAGAAAATTAGCCCCCAGAGAATTACCCCCCCCCCCCATGTTCGTAGAAGGGGAAGTCTAGCCTGATAAATAAATTGGTTTTAATTTTGTTGGGGGTAATTGTCCTTGGGGGGGGGGGGTAATTTTCTAGGGGTAATTGTCCTTTGGGGGTAGTTTTCCGGAGTGTCATTGCCCACTGGGTAATTGTCATAGAACCAATACCGACTAAGGAGTTGCTATGTCAGGCGTGATGTAGCATAACCAGGAAAAGAAAGGCAATGGGAGGTATTGTATGAAAGAATACAAATGTTTTGTGAGCATGTGCTGAGATGGGGGAAGTTACATACCACTGTCTCTTGTTAGCTCACTAATGATTGACAGATGTCACAAGATGAATGAGATCTGGAGCAAATTTTGTAGGGTGGACCTTAGCAGGTCTGAGAAAATTATTTTTTTAAATATTAAAAAATCTATGAAATATATTTAGATGTTTGAATAACAAAATATAAGTTGTATGCAGCCCTGCACTTCAACAGGAATCAACTAATATGTGGATGTCACCCGACCTTTAAACGATAATTTACAAGTAAACCGTTTTTATTCACGAACGCACACACTAGAAATGGGCTCAAATCTTTCTGTGATTTTTGCTCTTTCAGCTCACATATATAAAGTGTAATTCCTAGCAGTCTGTACTTTATTTATATAACAAAGTGCTGTTAACCAAAGTTGTACGTAAACGTATACGACTCTTGGTTTTAATTCAAGATTGAAAAAGATCCCTAAATTTACAAATATGACGACAAAATATTTGTCTAGGATATCCTGTATATAAATAGAAAAGTTTGTAGACAATAAATAAGGATTTTGGGATGACTCCTTGAATATTCTGAATGATTTCTATTTTGTTACCTTTTAATTTATTTCTTAGTTGCAGGGAAGTAAGTGATGAATTTGACAAGATCTTGCAGAGAGTAGCCGAGTTTATGAGTGATGATCTTGAAATCCGCCGCCTTGCTTCGAAACTGGGCTTCAGTTGAAGAGCCGAAAGATGAGTTCTGAGAAAAGTGGGAAATAAGTTTTTAGCCCGTTTTCCCATTCTTTTAATGTTAGTGTGCAAAAATTTCATAGTAAAAAAAGTCCCCTTTGTGATTTGGGATTGAATTGCTGTTTTTATATTCTTGTTTACAATATCCCATGTTCTCTCAAGCAAATAGTGCCTCATTAGAATATATTATTGGCTGACGAATTATTTCGTTTTCTCATATTTAATGTGCCAAATTCTATGGTACAGAAGTGCTATACCGTTCAGTATTTAAAACTTGATTAGATTTCATTATGTAAATAGGGAAATGATACAGCTGTCTTCCCCTTTCTTTTTCTACGTTAGAAAGGAGTTTTTATATTCATTGCATTGGAATTTTATATTTATGGCTGTATATGCATAGTTTGTTTGCATAAATTTGCAATAGAAGTAGTATGTTTATATTTGTAACTATACATGTATAATTTGTTTGAATAAAATTGTATTTAACGTAATATTTATCAATTTCAAATTAGGCTGTATTATTTTGTCTTTCATCGGGAAAAGCAGAGTGAAAACTATGTAAAAATAATCTACAGTTTATAAACTACATGTAAATCTGCAAAATGAAGGCCTTTGTATGGTGGCCCAGAAGGGATATCGCGAATCGTGAATTTTGTTGTGAAATTCCCTGGAAATATGCCACAAGTCGCATATTTCGTCGTTACTTTTTTCGTGAATTTATTTTTCCTTGAGCAGTAACTGAACCGCTATAAATATTATATTTTTTGTTTGCTTGTTCATGATATCAGTACTGTATTTTTAAAGCGACTCTTGCAATATACGTGTATCTATGTCTGCTGAAACAGTATTATGTAAGGTGTTTGAACAATTTCAAAAACCACTCCAAATTTGGAAGTCATGAGACATAAATACTTTGCAACCTTAGAATTATGCACAAAAGTTGTAATGTGTTGTTGCGAATCACACTTTTTGTTCCTAAAAACAAAGCTGTACATATGTTAGCTCTTTAATTCTTTTTGCATACATTTATCTAGTCGTCATGAATGTATTGAAATCATATTGATATGAAGTATGTGTCCACCAGAGAAATAATGTATAGCCTGAAATTCAATGGCTTTTTATTTACAAAAACGTTACAAAAAATTGCATACCGGTTATTATGTACAACCGTTGCAATCTCATTGCAGAATTCATTGTCTTTACCAACTGTCATGTGCTTTAATCTCTTGCCATCTTGTCATCTTTCTTCTAGCCTCCTTTTTGCACTATTTGCCATTTGTCTGGCCAAAAAGTGTCAAAGTGTCCTTGTGCTGCTCGTATTTAACTGTTAGTGTACATTCTGAGGTTCTTATTAATGTCATGAGAACTATATAGATGTATTTTTGGTCTGTACTATAGATAAACTTTACTTTTATACCTCCGCCACATAGTACAGCAGGAAGCATTATGTTTATCTATCTGTCTTCGACTGTGCATAATTAATCTTAGTACCAGCCTGACTGAGAAATGAATGTGGTATCTTGATGAAATTATTAGCGTTTATATGCGTGATCAAAGATTACTGGATTAAATTTGGTCGTTGATGTCAAAGGTCAAAGGTTAATTGTTCGATTTGTAAATAAGTGACGTTTTGCCCTTTTCTTGAAAAAATACACAACAGAATGCAATATTAATATGTAATTATTGATCGAAGGGAAAAATCATTCCAAAGTTTTTTCTCTACTGGTTATACGTGTAATTTTTTAAGATTTTTTTTAGCTCTCATATTACTGAAGCAAATGTCCTACGAACTGTCATTTGAATGAAGATCTGGAATGAAACCTCAAACTGGATTTATGAAAGTACTCAAGTTGGAATTTGTTCAATTTACAAAATATAATTTTTGGCTTTGAAGATAAGAGAAACGATGCTCTAAATAGCATTGTTATGTTAATTAAACAACATATGTTTATTTGTGAATTGAATGGTATTGTTCTGCTTTCTGATATGTTGCAAAAGAAAGTTTCGTGATATTATAAAGATAAGAAATATTATTGAATGTCTATCTAGAATGGAAAAACATTTTGCTGTAAAGTGGCAGTTGCTACAATTGTTGTTTGTATGGAAAATAAGCACATATATTTGATTTGTTTGTTTGTGTGAAGATTATTAGTAAATAGCCTGTGGATGCTCAAAAATAGGGGGAAAACAATTATGCAAAATAATTATTTTCCTTAGAGCCAAAGTGTTGGGTGCCCAAAATGTTATGGCAATATGTTACTTAATGTGTATAGTGATGTGAAAGAGGAACACGCATTTCTGCAAGGAGAGGATTTAAAGTTGTAGACACATGTCCAGATTTGGTTTAAAAATCCACTCAATAGTGTTGGGAACCCCCCCCCCCCCCCCAAAAAAAAAAAAAAAAAAAAAAGAATATATAATTTGAGTTTCCTGCATAAGAAAATCAAATTCTGTTAATTTTCACCAAAATCTGTCTCCAAGCAGGTTTTTTTTACATCCTTGTAAAATTTTGTGTAAAATGACAACTTTTATTCACGTCATGCATTATAAATGGAATGTTGCAATAATATTTGGGTTCTCAATCTGAGAAAGTAAATTTTCAGTACAGTTTAGTTTTCATTATGATTTACCGGGCTATTAAAGTTCACATCGCCAAGTAAAAGCAAATATATAAAAATACTACTATAGTACAGCGGATTAGCTCCCCATATAACGAGAATTGTGCACTTTTTGATAAAAGCATGAAACTTCTAGCATAGTTAGTTTAGACCATAAGATTCATTTTCAGATGTGGAGGGAAGTCAGATTTGACCTCTGATGACCCTGAGAGGTCAAATTCAAAATGGCCGCCAGTCCGCATGGTCTAATGTACAAACACGCTTAACTTTTGAACCAAATAGTCCAGAAAAACATTTAAGGTGTCATTTCCAACTAAATTGAGGATGCCAATGCATTTGGTAATACTTTTGAGATCGCCAGATTTCGGGATTTGGCATTTAGGTCAAGGTTAAGGTCAAAATTGACTAAAAATAGCAAGTTTTCAATGTTTACAACGAAACAAATCCCATTTATTTGTCATTTGCTCCTATGTTCTCAAATTTCTTTAAGAGTGGTTCCCCTGCAGACCATGAGATTCAATTTCAGATGTAGAGCGAAATCAGATTTGACCTCTGATGACCCTGAGAGGTCAAATCAAAAATGGCTGCCATGCAGTCCGCCGCATAGTCTAATAATTGTCCTAACACGCTTAACTCTTGAACTAAATAGTCCAGAAAAACGTTTAAGGTGTCATTTCCAACTAAGTTGGGGATGCCAATTCATTTGGTAATACTTTTGGGTACGCCAGAACTCTGGGCTTTGCATGAAGTCAAGGTCAAGGTCAAAATTGACTAAGAAAATAGCAAGTTTTGAATGTTTACAAAAAGTTTTCCCATTTATTTGTCCCCCTATGTTCTCACATTTCTTTAGGAGTGGTTCCCCTGCATAGTCTCCATCGTAATCCCTGTCAGTTAGTTTATTTCACTAATTATAGCACCAAACCAGTAGTTGTCTTGTAACTGACCATATGCATATAGCATGGTCAGTGGGCAGCTAGGCAGTATACGGTACAAACCTCAATTCAAGTCAGGGAAACTGCTCCTTTCCGTTACTGCTCAATAATACTGGTAAGATGTTCTTTAAGTTACTTTGTGTTTTATTTGGTTTAAGTAATTTAAATAATCGCTACAGAGTTTGAGGAACATGCCATAAAGCAAACTAACGTTTCCGCTAACACTATACAAACATCACCTTGACCAGCAACCTGGAGTGCAGGCAGCATTCTTGAGGGATGGGAACTTCTGACAGTACTGAAAGAGATGGGGAATCCATCTCTAGAACAAAGTCAAGACATACTAGTCATTGGCACAAGCGACATATCATGGACATCCAATTGGCTGAAACGGGGAGAAGGATTGAGACCCTAGGTGAGCAGTACACAAAGTTTGTGACAGAAAGGCTAGAGCAGTGTACGACACCTAGCTGTCACACAAACACTTCATACGAACAAGTTGCCATTTTTCAGTCGGTAGCCGGCGAAGGTTATATATATATATATGTTAAAACAGAAGGCACAGCTTGCAGCACTTAAGAGTGACTGTGGTCTCTTTTTGAGGATTTACATCTCGTGTCAGACAAGGGATGGAGATATGGACAATTTCTTCTCTCATGAAAACCAGGCAGTCCCGCCAGCTTTGTTAACTGGAGGTAAATGCGGTTTGGCGTTAAAGCAGATCTACTTCGCTGCCTGGAATCAAATCTGCTCGAAAACAATAGTGCACCTGTGGCCCAAGCAATAATTATTGATGGTGAAGCTGTGGTTCAAATGCTCAACCCTGGAACATCAAGAACATTTCAAGAGTATGGAGAAAAAGTGTTTGCCCCATACATCTTTGCTCAACTCGAGAAAAGCATCCGCATCGACCTTGGCTATGGTGTATACTTACCTGCTAGCCTGAAAGCCTCAATAGGGCAGGAAAAGGGAAAGGGCACCAGGAAAAGGGTGGCTCCTTCTATTTTGCTGCCAGAAAGCTGGAAGGACTTCCTTCGATTCAATGAGAACAAAACCGAATTGTTTGATTTCATGTCATGCGAAGCCGTTTACCTTCCTCTACCACAGGGCAAGGAACTGTATAATATGCAACAGATGGAAGTGGAGTACTCTGCTCTCCTGCTGATTCACACTTGGCAGGCCTTGTCCCATGGGTGTAAAAGGGTATCCATACGTATTGTTGGTACTGATGCGGTTGAACTGGCCGTGGCTTCATTCAGCAAGACAGCTCCTGATGCTGGGGATCGCTTTTGGTTTCAGATCAAGCTTTCGGTACAAGGCTTTCCATAAAATCATGATATTTGCCACCATGAGTCTGACACAATGTATGACTCTTCCAATCTTTCATGCGTTCACCGGGTGTCACTGTTTCTACATTCACAGGAAAAACTAAGAAGTCTTTCCCAGAAGTGAATGATTCCTTCAATGAACTCCTGTGCATGCCTAGGGAGGTCAGTGAAGGATCAATGTTACTGCCAGAGCGATTTGTGGTGCTAATACGACCGAACCAGTGAGAGCATGATAGTGAATGATGCCAGGAAACAGCTCTTCGCACAGAAGTCTAGAAACCTGGAGAACTTTCCTCCATCCCAGGCAGCACTCAAGCAGCACCTCAAGCGCACTTGCTACCAGGCCAACTGTTGAAACCAGACATTGGCCAAGAATCCAGAGATGCAGAGCCATCTGACTTGGGCTGGACAAACGAAACAACTGGGTGGCAGCCTCTTTGGACCACTCTCCCGGAAGCATAAAAATTGTGGCATGAATAATCCACTGTCGCTGCAAGAAAGGATGCACTGAACTGTGATCTTGTTCTGGACTGGAGACTGTTAGATTTTGATCGTTACCATCATTAGGATATGCATAAGTTGTGGACAGTGCTAAATTCATGTAGATATCTATAGCTGTGGTTATGAACAGGTTTTAGGTCGTATTTGGAATAGCTTTTTTTGTCTTCTGGGCCCAATTTCATAAAGCTGCTAACCGGTAAGCAAATTTTCGTGCTATAACTGTAGCAGACAAATTTGTACCTTGTACGTTCACAATGGGTTGCATTGTTACAAAATTCATTTTCGTCCAGTAAGCAGCGTAAGTTTAATGCATTTTCGTGTGCTTACGGTTAGCAGTGCCTTGAAGTAGAAACTAATACGTAAGCACAGAACCAGCCGATAAGCAGCTCTATGAAATTTGGCCCTGGCTAGTCAAAGTGGTGGTACACGGGTCTTTTTTATTAATTTTTAAAATAATGAAACCTTAAGTGTCAAAATAGAGGCAAAGTTTATTTTAAAAAAGAAAACAGCACTTTTTTTAGCCTAATATGACCTTTAACTTGACCTTATTGCAAATCCCTGAGTTCTGGCGATCTCAATGTATTACGTAATGAATTGGCATCCCCAATTTAGTTGGAAATGACACCTTAAATGTTTTTCTGGATTATTTGGTTCAAAAGTTACTGCGTTTATACATTAGCCCTTGCGGACTGGCGGCCATTTTGGATTTGACCTCTCAGGGTCATCAGAGGTCAAATCAAACTGAAATAGACTACCTGAAAAGGATTAAGGTGGAGGACTATGCAGGGGAACCATTCCTAAAGAAATTTGAGAACAAATGACAAATAAATGAGATTTTAAGTTAACCATTTGTAACCATTCAAAACTTGCTATTTTTAGTCAATTTTGACCTTGACCTTGACCTAAATGCAAAACCCTGAGTTCAGGCGATCTCAAAAGTATTATCAAATGAATTGGCATCCCCAAGTTAGTTGGAAATGACACCTTAAATGTTTTTCTGGATTATTTGGTTCAAAAGTTACTGCGTTTATACATTAGCCCTTGCGGACTGGCGGCCATTTTGGATTTGACCTCTCAGGGTCATCAGAGGTCAAATCAAACTGAAATAGACTACCTGAAAAGGATTAAGGTGGAGGACTATGCAGGGGAACCATTCCTAAAGAAATTTGAGAACAAATGACAAATAAATGAGATTTTAAGTTAACCATTTGTAACCATTCAAAACTTGCTATTTTTAGTCAATTTTGACCTTGACCTTGACCTAAATGCAAAACCCTGAGTTCAGGCGATCTCAAAAGTATTATCAAATGAATTGGCATCCCCAAGTTAGTTGGAAATGACACCTTAAATGTTTTTCTGGATTATTTGGTTCAAAAGTTACTGCGTTTATACATTAGCCCTTGCGGACTGGCGGCCATTTTGGATTTGACCTCTCAGGGTCATCAGAGGTCAAATCAAACTGAAATAGACTACCTGAAAAGGATTAAGATGGAGGACTATGCAGGGGAACCATTCCTAAAGAAATTTGAGAACAAATGACAAATAAATGAGATTTAACCATTTGTAACCATTCAAAACTTGCTATTTTTAGTCAATTTTGACCTTGACCTTGACCTAAATGCAAAACCCTGAGTTCAGGCGATCTCAAAAGTATTACCAAATGAATTGGCATCCCCAAGTTAGTTGGAAATGACACCTTAAACGTTTCTCTGGACTATTTGGTTC